GCAGGAATGGCTGATAATGGGTCTCAAGTATCCCTGGATGGTATAGTCTCAGCTTGAATCCCATATTAGCAGTGTTGGCTGTACTTCACTTGGTGGTAGGGGAAATCCACATGCTGAAACACACACTCTTTAATAGCAGCACTTACTGTGTTGATCGAAAGAATCAGAAGTTCTTCTACACTTTCCTGTCTACCCCCCAAAAACCTGCTTTTGAGAAAGCTTGGTAGAGTGTGTGTGTCTGTGTGAGGGAGCTACAGCTTGGAGGAGAAATCCGCAGCATTGGAAGTGTTTTCAGTTCATGCATGGGCTACTGTGCATCCAGGCCTCTATGTTGAGCACTGGCATTCATGGTTGGCCCTCCATGAGCTTCCAACAGATTAAGCCCTGGGGAGAAAGTTGCATACATTGCTGATGGTTGGAATCCTGTCCTTTTGTGAGGGAGGGGTTGTGTAATAATGCCATGTATTTACTAGGCATCTGCCATTCTGTTTCTAAGGGATAACAGTGCACTTGTATATATTTCCCCCCACAAAATATTTTAGAATAATGAAGTTGCCTTATACTGAATCAGACCCTTGGTCCATCAAGGTCAGTATTGTCTATTCAGACTGGCAGTGGCTCTCCAGGGTCTCTGGTGGATGTTTTTCACATCACCTAATACCTCATGATTTCATCTGGAGACGCCAGGGACTGAACCTGGGACCTTCTGCATGCCAAGCAGATGCTCTACCACTGAGCTACAGCCCCTCCCCAAGTCACAGCCTCTTCTCCATATTTGGATATCTTTAGAGAAAGGCAAAACATTTGGGGAAAGAGAAGCCTTAGAAATAGGGCAGCACTGACAAATTTGGGGAATATATGGGTAGGTAAAAAAATTGGATCCAGACATATTTTCCATGCAATCTCATCTAATTCTCCTCTGTGCCAATCCTGCGTAGCTTTTGTTCCTATTGGTCACATAGTCCCTGGCATAGGCATTTTAGTGGTCAAATCAAAGGGGACTACTCCTTTTTTCACCAGCAGAAAAAGCTGGTTGGATCCAACCCCAAACTAGTTCAGATTGCAGGTAACTGACACTCAGACAAGCAGTGCTAACCCACTAGTAAACTGAAGGATTTTTCATGTCCCCCCCCCCTTTTTTACACCTCTTGGTATTTTTAATCTGAAAGGCTTTATGGTACGAAACAAGCAGATGACCATCTGTTGTCATTCTGTTCCGTCTCCAGTGTGAACTCAACAGTTCCAGAGATCTCATGTGGAGAGATATTTCTGGGCGCAGGCATTTGGAGCACAGGCATTCTGGACACATTTGGTGCAGAGAGCTCAGGTGCCCTAAACTGGAACCAAACAAGAAAGTAACCAAAGTCGTATGCTGCTGAGAGATTTCAGTTTAATTATTTCTGCCTGCCCTCTGACTCAGTTCCAAGACAGCAACAGTGTGAACTGGCATTTGAGTCAAGGTCTTTCAAAATGTGAATGACTTGTGTGAATAATGTATATATATTTTTGGTTATGCTTTTTAGTTGAACTACAAAGCCAAATATGAGAAAGAGAAGTTCAAATGTTCTATACCACCAGATGCTCCATTTTTCCTTCAGTCCCAAGTCAATGCCTATAACCTCAGCGATGTAAGTATAAACCTTACAGGATTACAGGACACTTCCATAGTTAGAAAAAAGTAACAGGCAACTGGAGTGCAAGCTCTAATTACGTCTTAATCGATTGGATGGTAGCATCCTGTTGTACTTAATAGTAACAGTTTCCTCTGGTGCAGAGACTTCCTGTGATGCAGGAAGCACTTGCTTTCGCAGAGACCTCCTTATGCTTTTCAGCACTGTTGTTAAGCTGAAAAGAGCTGTAGGATCCAGTTTGCGAATATTAATGGCTACAATTCAGGGAAAGTTTCATTGAATGCAGTGGGACTTCAGCACAAAACTAGACAGAGCAGGCAGGAGGGTTTAGAGGAAAGGGAGCCCAAGAAAAGGCGGAGGAAGGGCACCCAGGAGGGGGAAGGGCTGGCCAGAATGGCTAAGAAACGTGTTTGAGAGAAGGACTGTTGGAGGAGGCAGAATCAAAGAGATGAGGGAAAGATAGCTTAAGAAAAACACAGGCATTTGAGGGAAACCCAAGTAACAAAAGTTAAAGACAGGTAGTGTGTGGCAGGGAGAAGGGGGGGGGGGTCAGAGGAAAGAGAACAGGGAGCCATGGCAGTGGAGGGTTTGGGGCCACTGTGAGAAGAGGACCTAAATAGAGCTGAGAAAAGATGAAACAGAGGGATAGTGGGGACCTGAGAAAGAGAGTATAGAACCAAATGAGTGGAAAAGTCCAGGAGGCTTACGCCTTCAGGGCGCTTCCGCCTCCAAGGATCACGGGCATTGAGTGTGCTGGCTTGGTATGGGAGGCCGGGGAGAGTTTGGCAATTTGGCTGGTGTACCGACTGCCTAACGTACCAGCCAATAGCTTGCCAATAGCTATAAATAAATAAATAAAAGTGGAAGGAGAATGATGATTGAGGCGGCACTAAACTAAAATTAGAAGAGATGCATACAGCTGCTTAAATAAGTTTAGCTCAATTAAGTTATGGGATAATGTTGTTTGTGACAGAATTCATGATACCTGGAAATCAACAGGAGACTTCCAGAGAACGAGAGTGAATTCCCTTGTTTCTTATTCCTCAAGAAAACTGATAACCACGAATTGCTTACTGTGAAAAATTTGAGAATGTCAACTGTAGTTAATGAGTAATATATAGCACGTGTCTAAAACTAAAATGGGTTGAAAGGACACACTGTCTGCTTGGGAAGTATTTGGTGGCTGAAGCCATAATTCCCCACTGAAAATTCACCTAGTCTGATCAGGAAAAGACTCAGAGGTAGGACAAATGGATGACTTTTAAAAATAGCCCTCGCCATCCAATCCCAGTTTTAAACCCTGCCCATCTTTCTTGTCAAAATCCCTTAACCAGTGCCACCATTATCCTTAAATATGAATTTCACCACCCTGCCTGTAACCTCCGTTTGGCTTATGGTGATCTGTACCTTCGTTCTCTTCAAAATAATTTCTGATGCCAAAATAACTTCTGTCATATCCTGACTGTGTGAATGTCAAAATCACCACGAGCAACATCTCAAATTGTAAGTTCTGTATTTTTCACGCCACTGCTAATAGAAATGGAATGGATGAAAGGCGTGATGATGAGATATGCAGGTCAGGCTTTCCACCCTATTATGTGAACTGCTTCCTTGCTCGGAGTGTGGATCAAAAAATCTATGTGAAGGGTGGTGGTGGGGGGGAAGGTTCTGTGGACTGTATTTGGGGCCCTAGAAGGCTCCCGTGCTTTACATCTTTCAGCCCTGACATACAGAGCACTATACAGCTATCAAAGCGCTACTTTGCTTCAAGTTCTGCATATTTATGTATGCATTTATATGAGCTGAGTGCTTTGAAAACTAGGCTGTTGGAAACTTTGCAACGCACTGTGGTTTTAACTCCAGTTAGTATAAAAAGATGATTCCAGTTATTCAGTTTGCCTGATTGTTACTAATTCACATGCATTAATAGATATTCTCTGCAATAAACCAAATTTATTTCTTCCCATTACTGCCAGAACTGGTATAAATACGACTGGGAGAAATCCAAGGCTAAGAAGTTTGAAATCAAATTTGACGCCATTCCAATTCTTGCTGCTAAAGCCAACCGAAAAATTGCAAGTGATGTAAGTGTTGCATCGAAATGAAACCTAACCCACAGAGAACTAACAATTTAGAAAAACGCTAGGATTAGGGGAGGGAATAAATGTGGATTTGGGTTTTTTTTTAGACAATGGATCTCTGGTGGCTTAGTACACATCCCAGGGGATGACTTTAAACCATTTGACATTTTGTCCACAGAATTTAATTTCCCATCCATGGCCAGTTGGCAATATATACAACTGAAACACGATCTATCTTCTGTTCTGGGACCAGTAGCTTTTGCAGCCTTGGACACCCCCCCCCCCCCCCGTTTTACCTACTTCCATCCTTAGAAACCCTTCTGAGACCCTTATTTTCTAAGGCACCAAACCAAATTTAATTTGGATTATATCTGCTCCCAGTGGAACCTAGAACTGAGTACTTCAGTTCGACCAATCCAATGGCAGACTACACTAAAAGCCATTAAATCCGCCTCTGTAGACTTACAACTAAGGCTTTATCCATCAAAAAAACTCTCTTGCGAGTGTACAGGTATCCTACTAACTTTTATCATGTTGGTCTCACTGAGAATGATTCCTGTTGGCGCTGCTGGACGCCTGGAGCTAACCTTGTTCACATGTTTTGGAATTCCCCTAAAATCACATGTTACTGGCAGGAGGTGATATCCAGATTAATCTCACATTACCTGCTAACAGACTTCATGGCCAATAATTTAATCCTAAAATACATATCAACTCTATGGGCACTCTTGAAATACCACATATTTTGGATCCAAAGGGCAGCTTTAGTTGCTCAGTGAATCATTTTACAACACTTGAAATCTCAAGTATTTCCCTCTGTAGATGTCTGGATCAATTATATGCTAGACCCTTGTACAAAAGAGAGAATGACATATAACAGGCGAGAAGCTCTGAGAACGTTCACCTCTGTTTGATGTGAATTCTTGTCCCTCTATAAGCAATGACACCTCCTCAACATTATCCCTTGTTTAATTGAATCCATAATGTTGCACCTCACTACACTCCTGCCTGACTTTTCTCCCTCTCTCTTTTCTTCTCCGCTAATAGGACACATTAGGGAAGGAGGAGGGGGGGTGGACTATGTGAGGATTGTTTGCTGTGTTAACTTTTTGTGTGTGAAAACAATAAACGTCTTAATAGAAACTGAAATGAACGTAGCTATTTGCAATGCAGAACACTTATGCTCTGGGACACAGAGCAAAACACTCATGTCTTAATCCCCGTGTAGGTGGAGTACAAGAAAGCTTATGAACTGGGCAAAGGGAAGCTAGTTGGAGCTCTGAGCATCCATGATGATCCCAAGATGTTACATTCTCTGAAAGTGGCCAAACAACAGAGTGATGTAAGTATCCATACAGTATTCCTTGGCTGTTGTTTATTAGATGGTGGTACTGTACTGAAAGGAGCTGCGGTGGCTCAAGTGGTTAAGACGCTGAACTGCAGGCTGTGGAAGGTCGGTAGTTCAGCAGTTCGAGACCCGGGTTGCCGGATGACGGAGTGAGCTCCCGTCTCTAGTTCCAGCTCCTGCCGACCTAGCAGTTCAAAAGCAAGAAATTGCAAGTAGATAAATAGGTACCACTTTGGTGGGAAGGTAACAGCGTTCCGTGCGCCTTGGTGTTTAGTCATGCCGGCCACATGACCACGGAAACGTCTTCGGACAGCGCTGGCTCTTCGGCTTTGAAATGGAGATGAGCACCGCAACCCTAGAGTCGGACTCGACTGGCTTTCGAGCAAGGGAACCTTTACCTTTACCTTTACTGTACTGAAAGCTGACATAAATGCCCACTTGTATAGGTGCTCTTTAATCTGACTCCATCCACAAACCCTATAACAACCCCCCCCAAGAATAAATGACAGATTTAAATTTACAAAAGGATATTAAGCAATCATGATTCTTGTTGGGTACCCTCTTAACCATTGCCACTAAGATAGAAGCATCTGCATAAAAGATATTCATGTCCACACAGCAGGATGAACTTCCTATTCTATGGGGAAAACTAACACACAGCAAAAACAAAACAATGAACGTGCATTACTATGCACATGAAGTTCACTGCCACAAGATATAGTGGTGGCTGCAGTCTTTAAATAGTATTGGATAAAGTCATGGTGGGTTGGTCTATGAATGGGTCTTAGCCATGATAGCTAAATGGAACCTCCATGTCCAAAGGCAGTATACCTCAGAATACTAGTTGCGGTGGAGGGAGACAATAGGGAAAAGCATGGGGACTTCCCAGAAGCATCTAGCTGGGCATAGTTAGAAACACCTTTTGTCTGATGCAGCAGCATCCTTCTTATCTTGCATACTTATCTGGCATGTGGATCAGAAACATATAGAGTTCAATCCAAATTTTGCAGCTAAGCTTGATTTTTCTGCATTTAACATTTGCAGGCAAGCAATGGGCTTATAAACAAAGTTGGTAGAGGGAATGATAAAATTTTCTGGCAGGTTTTGATATTATGAGCCTAATTTCCCCCCCTCTCCTTGGCAGCGATTGTATAGAGAAGCATATGAAAAAGGAAAAGGACTCAGCATTAACTACTGTGACACTCCAAAGTATCAAGTCGACAGCGTTCTGAAAAACTTTGGCGATGTGAGTATTGTAGTGACCATGAAAGCCCCTATGTTGTGGCTCAGACAAGATTTCTCATGTGCAGGAGGGTTAGTAACATGTGGCCTTTCTTTTACAGGTTAAATATAAGGAGGCGTATCAGAACAATATCTTGGGCCGATACATTGGCAGCTATGGGGACCCCTATCAAGCCCACTGTATGAAAGTCGAAGCCATGAAGAGTGATGTAAATATGAATGCCTTCCTGTTTACTAAAGTGGCTCAGCTTGTTCATGGGGAGCTCATAATGGTTATTGATTTCTTGTCACTTCCTTAGAAAAACTACAAGGCAGACTATGAAGAAGATAAGGCAAAATGCTACTTCCCACAGACCATAACTCAAGAATATGAAGCTTTGAAGAAGTTAGACCAGTGCAAAGACGTAAGTTTGTTGTTGTGGCTGTGAGATCTGATCTTTACTGATCTTTATCTGATCTGTGGCTGTGAGATCTGATTTCTCTCTTGTTATGTGGTATAACTCTTAAGGGCCTTAATGGAAACAGACTAGATTCATTTAATAAAAAGTATTGTACAGTTTGGATCCACTGGAGCATTTTCACAGATGAATCAATTTCCTCTTGAGGAGCTTGATTTTCTTACCCCCCCTTTCCTTCTGCAGCTCCAAATGCCCCCACCCCCCAAATCTGGCAATAGTCCCAGTGAGAAAGGCAAACTATGAATAACAAAAATAAGTAAAAAATAAAATAAAATTATGGGCTTCAGGAAGAGGGTGTGTGTGTGTGTGTGTGTGTGTGTGAGAAAGTCGTGCTCCATGAGTGGAAGTTGTTCTGTCTGCAGAAACACTATAGCAGCTCTAATCCTGTGTTTTAAAAACATACAAGCAGGCTGCAGGTGAGGAATTGCAGGAGGGAGCAAGAGTTTGGAAAGCCCAACCTGCCTTCAAAATCCCACTTCACTAGAATTCTTCCAGTTCTCAGGGGCTCGAGCAGACTGGTTTCTTCTCCTCTCCCCATTTTTCTTTAACTGACTCTGTTGTGTACACAGACTGACCAAGCCGGGCATGCCCGGGCTTGCCCAAAGACCTAAACCTCAGGCTTCATGCCGAAAGACAATGGGCCAGTAGGATCCTAGCCAGGCCCAATGAAAGGGCTAGGTCCCAGGCCGGGAGGCCAGTAGGTCTCTCAGTTACTGTAAATAGCCTATCGGGAGTGGGGTGTATGTTCTGGTGGTGGGTTTCTGAAGGAATATAAACCGGCCTGCGAGCCGGCCAAGGTGTCTTGTTCCTGACTAATAAAAGTATGCTTAGCTGAAATCACTCTCTGTATGCGTACTTTTCAGACTCCCATCTGCTTTCAACACACTGTCAATTCTGGAACACGTTTAGTCCTCGTCCAGCTGATTTCTAGCATTTATTTTCTTCAGGGTTACTGACAGACAAAAATCCAAAACCTTAAAAAAAAAAATAGGATGGGGAAATCTCCCCCAGCCTCCATCAACCTGGCTCCATGGACACGTGGCACATGGCACTGCCACTGGGCCTGTGGATGGAGGAAAGCAGGGAGGAGGAATAGGAACTGCCACCATTGTGTGAGCTGTGGAGGTGGCTGTGAGGCGGGTGGGTGAGTGAGTGAGGAGCAGCCAACACCCCCCCCCCCGCTGCTTCTGCTGCATGAGCTGCCAAGGGGTGGCAAGGCAGGTGGATGAGGAAGGAGTCACCACCAATGTTCCCTCTAAGTTGTGGAGTCTTGTGAGCAAAAATTCTATTTTGTGAGCTACTGACATTTAAGTTGTGAGCAAGTGATTTGGCTTCTGCATAAATTAGCTTGCTCTGGAGCCCTCCTTCCTGGGCTAAGACAAAAGATGTGTGAGCTGGAGGCTAAAAAACTGAGCTTGCTCACACTAACTCAGCTTAGAGGGAACACTGGTCACCACTGCTGTGGTATGGAGGGGCAGCAGTGGAGGCAGTGGGGCAGAAGGGGGAGGAAGGAGCTGCTGCCACATGAGCTGCAGAGGCAGCAGTGATGGAGCCCGGCTGGTGAGTCAGCGGGTGGGAGGAGGGTGGGATTAAGTCTGTAAGCCTTGCTGGTCCACATTTGTGCATACCTATAAATATAAGAAAAGGGAAGACCAAAGCTAAATTCAAATTAATAATATGGCCTTGAATAATGCCGAGCTGAAAAGAAATTTTCTTCATTCAACCCTATGTTGAAATATTTTCTCAAATATCTGGTATTATTTAATGTGCATTTTTAGTTAGCAGCTATGTATTGCATGGATGCATACATAATACATCCATACAAACATACGTTATATATCTTTGCTGGGGATGGCTGAGATTCTGAGTTGAAGCATTTACCAATTTTGTGGGAAAATAGCTGGAAGGGAAAGGGTGAAGGCTTCTTACCCACACAAAAAATATTTGTCTTCTCAAAACTGCAGCCTGTTTTGACTGCTTTTGTTTAGAAGGAATCCCTCAGGGTTCATTATATGCATCAATACTTAATGTGTAGTTTTTTACCTGTAGTCGCAGCATTTTGAAAAGCAAAAGTATGCATCTTTACAGGCTTTTTCTGCCATCTAGTGGCCATTATGATGCCTAGCATACTATACATTTTCTTTAGGCATCACAATGTAAATAATACAAGTGTGAAAGTGTGACATGTTTATATCCATAGATATGATGTACAGGAAATCATCTGCCTTGCTCAATGTTTGATACTTTTTGAATGTTTAATACTTTTTTAATATGTCAGATCTGTAGCCGTCTCAGAGTTTTAAGGTGTGCAAACCGCAGCTGGACCATTGATATTATTGTTTCTGAATAAATCATTTTAAAGGTTACTATATCTGAATTTAGATGCTGGAAACCCAATCAACTGTCATTCCCCCCCTTTTTAATTCTTCTCCCTCTAGTATACGTACAAAAAGCATCCTGATCAGATGAAATTCACATCAGTGACCGATTCGCTTGTTCAGGTTCAAGCGCAGATAAATTCCAAGCAGCTGAGTGATGTAAGTAGCCGGGCAACTCAAACTCCTGTTTTATTGTACTTTTGCCCTGTGACACCCTTGGAAGTGAGCCAAATGATCATCTCAGTGATCAATACAAGACATACCGCTTGGTGAGGATAAACACAGTCTTTCCAGGTGGTTTCCTATGGATAGGAGCAGGAATCAGCAGTGGTTAATGTCTAAGAATAGGGGTGGCTAAGACTCAGACGTCCATGAAGGTATTTTCTCTGGAAGGTATATAGTCCCACAATAGTCCCATGGCCACGAGGTGGACTGTGGTTATTTGATGATAAAGAAAACCCATTCTTCACACTGCTGAGATTCTACAAGAGCAGACACTGGGCTGGGTCTAGAAAATCATAAATGGAACTCCAGTTACAGAACAGAGCTTTTCAACCTCCTCAGTCTTCTGTGATCTCCTGACGGCTTTAGAAGCTGAGGGTTGAAAGAACCTTTGGGAACAGCATGGATGCAGCACAGGAAAACGTGTAGAAATTGCATACCTCCTTTAAAGGCAGTGGGAGGGAAGGCAGCTTGGTATAGTCTGATCTACATTTTGAAAGGAAAACTCTGTAGAGGAAGGCTATAGCAAATCACCTCCACTTCTCACTTGCCTTGAAAGCCCCTTGCCGGAGTTGCCATAGGTCAGCCGCGACGTGACAGCACTTTAGAGACACACACTTAAAGTGAGTGGAAGTGCCTGTGTCTCAGTGCTGAGCATTGACATTCAGAGTGTCAGTCCTTGGTGCAATTCTGGCTCAGATTAAATCCAGGAGATAAGGTAGCACTCAATGGTGTCATCTCAGTTGGTTGCTCAGAACAGGAATTAAACTCTATTGGGTAATGGTGCAATGCGTTTTCTTGGTGTTTGCACTCTACTTTCTAAGGTAAACCCAGATGTTTTTAAAATTTCAATAATTTCGGAATGCAAAATAGCTGGGGAACAGGCATGTTATTCACAGGGCTCCTTTTTAAAAAAAAAATACTGACATTGCTTTTGAGGAATATAGCAATGTCGAATCAGGCCCTTAGGATTTGCAGGTATTTAAAAGCTAAAGATTTTAAGACACTTCTTGGTATCTTTAATCTGGTGTAAAAGAAACCAATTATGGGCTGTCATCGTGTCCAGTGAAAGAAAAGATCCTTTCACTCAAATGGTGTGAATGGGTCAGTTTCCACAGAACTCTGAACATTTGGCATGTAGAGTCAAACTGAAAGCACACAAGAGAAATCAAAATGGTACGCTGGTGAGAAATTATAGACTATTCACTCTGCCCTCTAATTCAGTTCTGAGATAAACTGGGATTTTTGAGGTATTTCAAAATCTAATGGTTTATGTAACTATTATTTGGTTATACTTTTCAGCTGAACTACAAAGCCAAACATGAAAGTGAGAAATTCAAATGTTCTATGCCAGCAGATGCTCCATTATTCCTTCAGTCTCGAGTCAATGCATATAACCTCAGTGATGTAAGTATGAACCTTACTCGAGTACAGGACACTTTCATAGCAAGAAGGATGTACTTGGTGACAGTGGGACAAACTCTGATCCTATTATTATTTTACAAATTGAGGACTACAGAGCTTGCTGGAGAGGGAAATCCTATCCCTTCACACTGGCTGCCACCTTCTCTCTCTTTTCAGGCCTCCACCATCCCCACCACCACCACTACCACCACCCATTTTCCTTTCTTTTCCCTAGGCTTTTCTTCCTTTCCATTCACATTTTCAATTCTTTCTCTCTCCTTCCTCCACCCTTTTGCAGCTATATCTCTGCCCCTAACCCCCCGTTTCCTTCTGCTTCTCTTTCTTCCAGTTTTTTTCACTCCCACAGTTTTCTCCGCTCATCACTTTATGTTCTTGTCCAAGCCGCTGATACCAGGATTGCCCAGGATGAGGCTATAGTGCCTTGGTTGCTAGGCCACTGTGGTTACTGTGCTCTTGTGAAATTTTGTGAGATCTCATTTACAGAATTAGGAATTAGATATCATTATGTTGGCGGTGGTGATATTCAATGGAAAGTTTTTACTGTTCATAACTTTACTTTAAAAGGGTGATCACCAATTAACTATCTTTAATACAATATTCACAGAAGTATACAACTGCAATCAATACATGCTATTAAATTGTCAGAAAAATGCTGGATAAAAGTAGTTTGGAGCAATAATGATAAATAAAACATATCCAAGTTCAATCAGTCTTAGAGATCATTTGAGTCTGATGAAAAGTACAGGCATGTTTTTTAAACTGTCTACAATAACATCTCAGTTCAGCATCAGACTTTCTGTTCATCATCTTCAAGAAGACTTATCAATGTTTTCTTCACTTACAGAAGCAATAAATGCTCAAATAAGGTTTTAAATTTTCAAATAAGGTTCTGAATTCTACATATTAAAGTGTAAGAAACCTTATGAACAAGAAGCAACCCAAAATCAAAGTTTCATTATGCACAATGACGTGTTATTGGGTTGTGTCTCCATTCTGAAAGACATTTATGGCAGTAGGCATATGCCCTTTACTGACTAGGCCTGCTGCTCCCTTAACCCGATGCGCCTGTCCAGCTTCCCTCTCGCAGAGGCAAGATTTTCTCTCCATTTTTCTTTCCCTGTCTAACTGAGCCAACCTAGTAATGTGTTTTCTTCTTTCGTGAAGAACTCTGGCTGTCCCACCCTCTAAAAGTATAATATTTTGGTTGTCTGCTCAGCCCAGGAACCTGAGGGAAGGAGTGGGAGCTTGCTTTAACTTTAATGGCACTCGAGAGGTTTTTACATTCCAAATTAACACAATATTTTATTCAACATAAAGGGGAAAGGTCAGGTGAAATCAGGGATTGAAATTTCTGAGGTAAAATACACAGACTTTAGTTCTTATGTTTCAGGCTAATGAGAGTTTCTTAAACGATTCAGAGTTACTTAAGATCTTTATGTTAGAGGCTTTTGTTCCATTGTTTTCCAAAACAGTCCTGTACAGCTTCTTTGAGTATTCTCTGACTCTTTTGGTTTCCAGAAGGCTGGTACACTCCAGTACCCAAACCCCTTCTCATGAAACTCCAGTACTTGTCTTGAGTTTTTAACTGACTCTTAAGGTCTCTAAAGTCAGTTTCTAACCACACCAGACCAGGGATCTCTGTACTTTTCAGAGCTAATTCCCTGTTTGACTGGGTAGGGAAATTCTTGTCTTTCCCCTTTCTTTGGCCCGAATGGGAGTCTTGTCTAACTACCCACTGGTCCTTGCTAACTTTCCCCAGTTCTCCTCTCCGTGTTAAACTGCTCTCAGGCAGAGCTGAATTCTGAAACTGTCAGTACTTGCTTCTTTTCAGCTAGGGCTGAAATCAGGCTGAATTCTCCTCAGCATCCAGTTCAGAAGTCTTTCTCTGCTCAGCTGATGATAACCAATCAGATCTCTTGGAACAGCCTGTCTCTCAAGGCTCTCTGGCTCTGTGAAGAATTAATCCTTGGCAGTCCTTTATCTGTCAACACAGCACATCTAAGACTTTAAAAACTGCAATCCATCACAATATGTTATAATTCGTCAAAGTGATATTTCTAGTTTTTCAATTATTAAGCAATGTTAGCAATTCATTTATAGAGTGTGTATGTTCTTTACAACAAATGAATGCACTAATGTTTTGGTACACATTCCTAATATAATTTGTTTCTTTTCTGTGTTAACAGAACTGCTATAAATATGACTGGGAACAATCAAAAGCTAAGAAATTTGAAATTAAAATTGATGCCATTCCACTCATTGCTGCTAAAGCCAACCGAAAAATTGCAAGTGATGTAAGTGTTGCTTAGGAATGAATATAATTATTTGCAACTGAAAGTTACAGAATACTGGGAAAAACTGCTCATGTCTTAATCCCCGTGTAGGTGGAGTACAAGAAAGCTTATGAACTGGGCAAAGGGAAGCTAGTTGGAGCTCTGAGCATCCATGATGATCCCAAGATGTTACATTCTCTGAAAGTGGCCAAACAACAGAGTGATGTAAGTCCCAAAGCTGTATTCTTTTGCAAAAAATGGGTACTGTGCTAAATTCCTTCTGGCAGAAAACTTTTTAATTTTATTCCATCCCAGAAACAATAAAAACCAAGAATAAATAACAAAACATACGAATGTATTTTAAGAAATCATTAGAAGGCAGAGAATATTGATATCTGGCTGAACGTCTGTAGTTGCAGTCCCAGATCTATATTTTTAACTTATTTTATACTTGCAGAATTGTAATATTTTAGTTAAACTTTTTTTCCTGTGAGAAATTCTGTTGTAAAAAATGATACAGTCCAACTGTCAGCACATTTGCTAGATGGTATGACCCGTTGATCACAGCAGGGGCTCACTTTTGCTTAAATCTGCTATCTGTGCTGCAGTAGTGTGACAAACTAAAGAAAGATGGCAATATCAGTCATTGCTGCAAGGATAGCTAGATTCCAGTTGCCCCTTAGAGGCCAACAAGGTTTTCGGGATATGAGCTTTGATTTACAGAAGCTCCTTCCCCGAAAATCTTGTTGGTCTCTAAGGGGTGTCAGACCCCACAGCAAACAACGCAGTACACACTTGCAGGAAGGTTTTACTTTATTGAAGCCATGAAGCACTTGAACAGAGGCACTGTTCAGAATAACGATAGCTCAGAGAGCTGGAAAGGTTAAAGCAAGTTCATAATCATTACAGCCAATAAACATGGTTCCCGCGCGTGGCCAAAGGGTTTCTTGCGCACCTCAACCTTGGGAAATAAACTGCTGCTTTATTATAAATAAGCATACGATTCTCACAGTCTCTACTAATTAAAGACAAAGCAAAGCTCACTTGCTCTTCCACCTGTGGCCTTGGCTAGATAACGTTACATCAAAGCATGGCTGGCGTATACTGAAAGGAATGCAGAGCAATTGGGGAGATGTGCGCATGACGGCCTGAGCGCCTCTACAGAGGGGGGGGGGAAGGAAACGGACAGAGGATCATACAGAGAAGAATAAACATTTCGCAGCTTGCTGACAAGGGGCTCCTGGACTCTAATCTTGCCGTTCTGCTGCAGAGCAACACGGCTGCTCTCCGAAACTGTTGCAAGGATATTTCAGAAATCTATATTAGTTAATCAGTTTTTAAATTTGTTTAATTTGTATTAATGTTCAGCCTGGCCCTAATACTTTAAGTAGAAGTGAAAATAGAGGACTGTTAGCATCTGTTTTCTATTTTAACTCTTACAACACTAGGTCTAACTACCATTGTAAACCATTAGGCTGGTATGGGTCTCTCGCTGCCTTGGTGTTCTTCTGTGATTAGAGTTCTGGAAGTTACAAATCTGGGCTCCCGGCCTCCCGGCCAGGTCGCTGGAGGCCAGGGGCTGCTTTGCCGGCCCAGAAGAAGGCGGGGCAGCAACAGCGCCACAATGCTAGGCATCGTGACTTGGGGGTGGTGGAGCTGGCCCTGCAAAAAGGCAGGGCTCTGCTCCCGCCCAAACCAGTTGCGCCTCGTGCTCGCCCACCCTCCCATCCTGTTCTTAGTGTAGGCTGTTGCTGGTCGTCTGTTGGGGCCAGGCAGGAATTTTTCACTTCTACTCAGTGTTAGCTGAATGAGTGGAGGTGTTTTCGCCTGCCTCGCACTGAGAGCAGTGGATTAAATAGTTGGTTGTGGTGGTCGTTATTAAATAGGTTGGTCACTTAGCAGCGTTGTGCGGATAAGGAAGCTGAACCAGTGATCACCTCATGGCATTTTCCCGTTGGGGAAGAGGGGGTCATCAGGAACCGCCTTCCGATTTTAGGGTCCAGGGTGAGGAATGACGATCACCTCTGGGAACCTCTTGGGACAGGCTCCTCCTGGCAAGTTGTCTGGCTTCAGGGGTAGGCACTCCTGGGTGGCCACCGGTTTTGCTGGGACAAGCCAGACTGTTGTCTCAAGACCAGAGCTGGTGACTCGCCCATGATAGGCAAGGAGGTTGGTCAGGGAGTGACACCTGCCTTGCCTGTTCTGTGCTCGCTTAGTTTGTCTCTTGCCACACTGTTATGTTTTAAATAGTTAATAAAGTGGCCCTTGTTTGCTTCCAAACTGTTGTCTGTCTCGTTTTTCTGATGGGAGCAAACAAAAGGGGTTTTGGTTTTGTTTGTTTTTTTAAAAAAAGATGACATAGAATAGCACACACCTTGTCTCAGAATTTGTAACAATGGATTGGATCCAACAACTCCCCTTTTCTGAGTGAGAACTCTCCCTTCAGCCTAGGAAGCCCTCCTCAGATAGAGAAAAGTTCCAGCTACCAAATCAAAGCTTAGAAGAATGGATTAATAACATCCAGCCCCACTATCTGATTTACTACTTTCTCCGTACACACACTAGTCATTAACAAAGGTATTCCATTGCTTCAAGAACGTATTCCCTTACCCTGACTCCATACAGCCATTTTCTTAAAAGACAAGTATTCCAAATATTTTTAAAGCAAGGGTCCACTCATTTGGAGCAGCTGGAAATATCACAGACATGATGTTTATCCAGATTACCTGCATTTTATGAAATGTCCAGTTTTGTTAGCAAAAACTTTTGACTACTGAAATTAATTGATTTATTCTTTTACAGCGTGAATACAAAAAAGGTTATGAAGAGTCAAAGACTAGGTACACAGTACCGCTGGACATGATCTCAGTTGTACAAGCAAAGAATACACAGGCTATTGCCAGCAATACAGACTACAGGCATCTCATTCACAACTACTCCTATCCTCCTGATAGTATTAATGTGGAACTTGCCAAGAAGTCTTATGCAATACAGAGTGACGTAAGTGCTCTTGCTCTTTTGCACAGTTAGTAATATTCTGCTAAAGAAAGGGTTGTGCAGGCGTAGAATTATGCCATTTTTCCAAATGAAATTTTTGGGAGCCCCCAAGATCAGCAATAAGCAATAAACTGGGGCAGAAAGGAGAGGAGGGAGATACCATGTTCACAAATGGCGTTTTAACTATGGATAGATCAAACCCTTATATATCCTAAGGTTTTGTGCTTAATTCATTAAGAAAATATATAGGTACAATTTGATCGGGCCAAATTATGAACAATAAACAATCCAGAAGTATTGGTGTATAGCTGCTAACTTTTCTTTGTCTAATATTTTGATATACTTTCAACATAGTTTCAGCATAGTTTTATTTATTTCATTAGATTTCATGACCGCCCTTCCCCGCTTATGCAGGGCTCAGTGCAGTTTACAACAGAAGAATTCAATACATTATAAACCCAATTAAAACCATAAAAATTCAATACTAAAAACATTCAAACATAAGTATTTGAAAACATTTGAAGAACAAGATGGCATATCTAGCATTTAGTTTTGGGGGGGTTGCTGGGCAGATGTAAGGGAACTGTTGCTGGCCTCAACCGAGAGTTTCACCAGGCTGGGGACAGGGCAGAAAAGACCCTGGCCCTGGTCGAGGCCAGCCAGATATCTTTGGGGCTGGGAACCACCAGAAGATTCTTATCTGCTGATCTTAATGCCCTCCGGGGGACATATCGGGAAAGGCAGTCCCGAAGGTATGTAGGTCCCTGACTGTTAAGGGCTTTAAAGGTAAGCACCAAAACCTTGAATCTGATCTGGTGCTCCCCCAGCAACCAATGCTGCTTGCGTGGCACTGGATGGCTATGTGCCCTCCATGGGGTCCCTGTAAAGACTCGCACAGCCACATTTTGTACCAGTTGGAGCTTCTGGGTCAGTTTCGGGGTTAGCCCTATGTAAAGCGAATTACAATAATCCAGCCTGGAGGTGACTGTTGCAAGGTCGGGGTGAGATGGATAGGAGGCCAATTTAACATAATTACCTCAGTGTGAATTTGAGCGTTGCACCTGATTAGACCTACCTACTAGATTCATATAATAATTTTCATAAGTTTTCACACACATTTTTTCTGAATGACTCCTAGTTCTCTGAGACAATTTGAATAGGAATATATATTTTACCTCTGTAACTTTGAAATGCCTGTGGCTGCTCCCACATTACAAGGATTCTCCATGTTGCTTTCATGGCTGCTTTGAATGCAAAGGTGTATGTGTAGGCGGTGGAGCATCCCATGTGACAATGGAGCTTCTACACGTGTGATTTTCCTTTGTCTTCCTCCCAATTTTCCCCTTCCACACATATTCCACAGTGATTCTGCACTGACATCTGGGGCATGGTCATAATTGGCGTCCATAGTAACTTGTTGCTTCCTTTCTTCATGCATTCACTTACGGCCTTATAGCAGCTCCATTAAAACTGGAATGGAAACATATAAGTGGCAGTAAGTCATTGTAGCATTAGAACAATTAAAGATTTTTTTTTAAAAAAAGCTTTTGAAAAGCACGCTAGAAAAAAAGGTTGGGCAAATACCTCATGCAAAGTATCTAGAGCAGGAAAATGGCAGTGATGTGCTAATGCACTTAGACGGCAATTTTTCCAAAAAGACTGGAGTGTAAAGCAGGTTTGGGAAAGAGAGTATTGAGGGTGGGAAATCCTGGACATAGGACAACTGCACTATGATGTTGTGTGGAAGCTCCCTCCTAAAAAAAACCCAAACCCATTCCAGTTTGGAAGCCAAGGTGGAGAAAAACCTTCATGTGGAAGAAGTGTACAGGTTCTCACATTTAAAGTAGTCATTCATTCTAATCACACTTTTGTGCTTCATTGTCTCTCAATAGTGAAATAGACTTTGGAACTTATTCTGTATGTATTCAGCTTTCAAAATAATTTTAAGATATATGTCCAGGTGTTGTTGTTGTTTTTGCTTACTCTTTTTGGATTGGGAAATCCAGTCACATAAATGGAGTGATTAGAATGCTTTCTCATGTTAATTCTTAATTGCTTCATCACTTGCTGTTGCCCATTTGTAACAGACTGTATTACAACCTGACATTTATTTCACACAATGCAGCACAACAGCTTGCCTTCTGTTCAAACATTATTTTCAAAGAATGTTTCCTTGCACATTGGATAACTTGTAAGAATGTCATATAATGCAATTTTGTACTGTAATTTTTATTGCCTTTTCCAGAATGAATATAAAGCTGACTATAACAGTTGGATGAAAGGCTGTGGCTGGGTGCCATTGGGGTCCCTGGATGTAGAAAAAGCTAAAAGAGCTTCAGATATTATCAGTGAGGTAAAATACATTTGATTTTTTTTAAAAAAAAATATTTATAATATTTCTCAAAGTGGTTTACAATAAACATTCAGATAAAACAATTTCATAAGAAATCACTCAATAGCATAAAGATATCTAAAACAGGCAGGCACAGATTCCAGTAGAAATCAGCTTCCCTATTTAATTGAGCTCAATGCCTTCCAGAAAAGAAAAAGAAAAGAAGGCCTGTAAGGGCTACACCAAATTAACCTCCTCTGGGACGGAATTCCACAGTCTAGGTGTGATGGTAGAAGTCCTTTCATGGTCTTGTTAAACCTAGCTTCCATTAAAGCTAAAGCAGGTTGATAAGGATGGAAGTGTTTGTTTGATTTTTTTAGTCTCTGCTCACCCAAAGGGTCTCATGGCAACTTAAAACATTAAAACCAAAAAAGTAAAAACAACACAAAACAAATATAAAATATTAACATTAAAATCTTAAACTATTACAATATGTGGCTATCACCATACCACTAATAAAAACAGCCCAAACATGTAGTTACCCTCCAAAGGCCAACCTAAACAATTCGGCCTTGCTTGCCATGCAAGAACTAAACAAGTCCAGCAGGGAACGAGTGTCATCCGAGAGTGCATTCCACAGGGTAGGGGCCACAACTGAGAAGACCCTCCCCCTGGCGACAGCTAACCAAGCCATCCTGGGGCCTGGCAACTGCGAGAGGCCCCCAGAGGATGACCGAAGGGAGTGCAGGGGGTTGTTACGGGAGAGGCAGTCCCGTAGGTATGAGGGTCCCAGACTGTTAAGGGCTTTAAAGGTTAGCACCAACACTTGAATTGGATCTGGAGACTAACTGGCAGCCAGTGCAGCTGCCACAGAATTGGAGTAATATGAGCTGACTATGATGTTCCAGTCAGCAACCTGGCAGCTGCATTCTGGACCACCTGCAGTCTCCAGAGCATTTTCAAGGGTTGCCCTAATAGAGCAATGCAAGGTCTGACCCAGACAAATAAGGAGCCAGCTGGTGGGCCTGGTGTAGCTGAATAACACTTACCATGCTAACTATGGACACTCATTCATGCAATGATAGCATAGAATGCAACTGCACTGCAAGGTTCTTAACAGGGTCTACAGCTGGATATAATTGAATCTCAGGAGTGACCCTCCAGCTAGCATCTCCATCTCTCCCAGTCACATGACCTCTGTCTTGGATGGATTCAGCTTCAGCCAGCTTCCCCCTTAACCACTGGACTACAGCATCCAGGCTGCCGGCTACTTATTCAGAAGAAGGAAGAGCTGAGTGTAATCAGCATATTGATGGCACCCAATTCCAAACCATCTGACGATCTCGGCAAGAGGGGGCATATATATGTTAAATAACATCAGAGAGAGGATTGAACCCTGTGGGACCCCACAATTCAGGTCTCATTGGGAAGACCTCTCCTCCCCAGTAGCAACCCTCTGAGAGCATCTCTGGAGGAATGAGGAGAACCAACTAAGGGCTTCACCCCTTACCTCCAGGGAGATCAGGACCAAATGGTCAACTGTATCAAAAGGCTGCTGATAGATCCAGAAGGTTCAACAGTGCTGGCATGCCTTTAAAGATCCGGATCATCAAACTAAGTGAACTGTGACATCTCGGTCCCAAAGCCAGGCCTGAAGCCCGATTGAAAAGGTATTCTGGGCCCCTACCATTTAGAGAGTTAAAGGTCAAAGCCAGAAACAGGATCAGACTAATTTACCCTCATCCAACTGGGAATAAATGTACATAGAGAGTTCTGTACACCTGTAGAGACATCTCCAGCTAACTGGAAGATCATATGAACAAGTGAGTATGGAGTGCACAGTTACCCAGTCTACCAACTGTAACATTTTTTAAAAACTGAAATCCTAATAATCAATTTTTTGGGTTGGAGAGAAAGAAGGGGGATTGAACCCATTCCTATTTTTCCCCTATAGCATTCTTTCAAAATGTGGTAGAAATAAGTTAGAAAGGTGCTATTATCCATCAAGGAGGTGTAATAGTTCCTTTTTAATTATTTTTTGAACAGAGGAAATACCGTCAGCATCCAGACACTCTTAAGTTTACATCAATTGAAGATGACCCTGTTACAGTACAGGCTAAAATCAACCAGGCCCAAAGAAGCGATGTAAGTATTGGTTCTCATTGTGTCTCTCTGTGTGTGTTGGCCACTTGAGGTCCAAAAATGCTTATTTGACCACTAAGAATTTGGTAGAAATCCTATTCTCATCAGTCTAAGGAGCAAGACTGCCTACCTTGCACTGGAATAATTGGGTTTTTTTTTTTTTTTTGCTGTTCTGAAGACAGACTTGCAAAGAGAGAAGTTACGTTCAAATTAATTGAAACTATTAGCATTGTGGCCCATTCCTCCACTCATGAATGTACTTGAGCAGTTTAAGTTCCTTTGGATGCAATAGTACAAAATAGAATTAACCCTAATATTCTAACCCAGCCTACCAAAGGCTGTAGGAGGCATGTGTATATGAGAACAAAAATAATTCAACGTGTTTTGGCTTATGAGGCACTGTTAGGCATCTGTTTCTATAGTTATAAACATGGAAACAAAACAGGAGAAGCTGGTAGAAGTGCTATCTGTTGCAATGGGGATCTGGAGCAAACATCTCAGGGTTTTCCTCATTGTTTCTAAGCTTCTTCGCATACCAATTTAGCATCCTTTTTCTGAATTGTCTGTAACAGTTTGCAAATATTATGTGGACTTTAATTAGCCAGTTTTAAAACAGCTGCGGTGGCTCAAGTGGTTAAGACGCTGAACTGCAGGCTGTGGAAGGTCAGTAGTTCAGCAGTTCAAGACCCGGGTGCCGCAAGACGGGGTGAGCTCCTGTCTCTAGTTCCAGCTCCTGCCAACCTAGCAGTTCGAAAGCAAGAAATTGCAAGTAGATAAATAGGTACCACTTCGGTGGGAAGGTAACAGCGTTCCGTGCGCCTTGGTGTCTAGTCATGCCGGCCACATGACCACGGAAACGTCTTCGGACAGCGCTGGCTCTTCGGCTTTGAAACGGAGATGAGCACCGCAACCCTAGAGTCGGATTCGACTGGCTTTCGAGCAAGGGAACCTTTACCTTTACCTAAAACACTGGCTTGCGCATCTGAAAATGCAAACATATAGCTGATGAATGATAACACCAGGCTTCTGTCAATTTATTTTGTGGGTCAAAGCAATAGTAAGGAAGATGTGGTTCTCACTTCTTTGGGAACAACTGGGTCTAGCAGAAGATCACTGGTAGGCCCTTAGGTATATGTAATGGTTGAGGAAATTCTGTTTCACTGTATCTGAAGAAGTGTGCTTGCACACAAAAACTTATACCTTGAATAAAACTTTTTTGGTCTTAAAGGTGCCACTGGACTCAAACTTTGTTCTGTTGGGAGTCCCTGTTACACGTTTTTGTATGATTAGTCTAGAATGCACATACTTTGTGGCTTGCTGCTATGTAGGACACCACATCTTTTAAGCATGCCAGACTATGTATATGGTGAATGTAAAATCATTTTTCTCCATCCGTTTCTATTATAGGTCCTTTATAAAGCCAAAAATGAAGACACAGTTCACAAATATAATCTCCCAGGTGATGCACCTCAGTTTATCCAGGCGAAGGTTAATTCCTACAACATCAGTGATGTAAGCTTGCTTTTTAGTATGGTTTTTGTGCAATACAATGTTTAATATAGAGAACTAGCCATATATATATATAAATATAAATATTGTGTTTTGGAGTGGCACTCTCCAGAACATTCCACGTGGTCCCAAATCAGTTGGCTCCCTGATGTATCACTCAGAGGACTCCCCATCCACTGGCTGCATTGCCTGCGTCCCGCCCACAGAAGCGGCACTGGCCACAAATTCCCTCAGGAGACAGTTGCTTCCCCTCCCTGAAGGGCCTCTCGTTTGCTACCATGCAGCGGTGGTGGCCTGGTTTCCCCATGCCTGGCTCTGACAGGGTCTCCTCAAGGCAGCGGGTGGGAGGCAACCCCGCTCAGTCCGGGGAGACAAACGCTCTGAGGGCACAAGCTGGCCCGGCCCAAGCAGACCTCAGCGGAGCGGCAGAAACCTGGCGGCCGGTGACACGCACCCAGGAAGCTCCAGTCAGAGAGAGAGAGGTGGTGGCGGCACTCTCAAGGACGGAGGAGCGCCAGATTACGTGATGGGTGACACCGCTTGTCTGTTTGCTGAGGCTCGCTTGGTAGAGGCAGAGCCCAGCTGGAGGAGGTGGTGGCGGCTCCGCAGGCCTGCTGCAGGTGGGGGGATCCTGTGTGGCGTCCCCTGGTGCCTCCCACCTTGCCCAGGGGTAAGCGAGCCCAGCCCACTGCAGCGGGCTCCACCATTGTCCTCCCCATCTCCCCACACCCCAGGCTAGCTGCGCGCCCTGCCCCACAGAAGGGAGGGAGGGAGGAGGGAACCAGTCAGCAGGCAGCCTCCCCGGATGGACAGCCGCCCGTAGTCCAGTCTAGAGCTCGTTGTATTGCTTTTACAATGAGCTTGGCTGCTAGTATATATATAAATACAAACCATTGTCTTCTAGACCTACTACAAACTGGCGTGGGAAGAGCTGAAAACGAAAGGATACGATCTGAGATATGATGCTATTCCCATCAAAGCTGCCAAGGCTGCTAGACACTCTGCTAGTGATGTAAGTATTTTGTGTTCCAGTTGGTAGTTTTGGGGTTGAATCCTTCCAGCTTTACTGCTGATTGCCTCCTTACTGTGGCTCCTTCCTGGGTGGTTTCTTGATCCTCGTTAACATAATCCCAGACATAGCCTTTGGCATGTCAAAAACAGCCCCAATTCCTCTTCTGCCTATGTAAAAGCTGGTAGGATCCAACCAATTCTCAATGGGAAAAACCTATCGTAACAGTATATCTGAAGGAACTTAAAGTAGCTTATCATGTACCAGATTCAAGGTCTATTGGTACTAATTTCAAAATCTCAAACCACCCCTACTTCCTTGTGCAGAAAATGACCTCGAGATGCAGCTCAGTTATACAGTGCATGTTTCTGGCTGTAAAACTGAAGTCTTGATTGTTGGTTCAGATATAGTTTAAAAGAGGGCTGTTAACTGCATACGGCTGGCTGTTATCTTCACTTGAATTAATCATTTCACTCTTTTGATTTCCTTTTTTCTTTTCATCTCAGCATTAAGATACCTGATTACCTTCTGCAGGGGAGTTGCTGTGTGCTGTAGTCAACATCTCAGTGCAACAGAATTATTGCATTATAATTGTTAGGGTGGATAATTACCATGATTATCCTAAGCAGCTCCACTGTGGCAGTTACTGCATTTGCTAAGTCACTGGTTTTATGAAGAGTGCTAATGGCACGTGCAGATCTCTACATATACTAGGTTTTAGGACCTGCAAAGACAGAAAGTGTCACTAGTGTGCTAAAACTCAATGCAGAGTGGTGTACAAGCCATCAGTGGTCTGTGTCCAACTATGCAATTTCTCTGATGTAGCAGCATTTCCTGTTGTGGAAGAGGGCCCAGGAAGTACTGTAGATTCCCATGTTGCCCCCTGTGCTGTTCCTGAAGGTCCTCTGAATCCCAGGAACAAAATTATGGGGACATCAGTAGGCTTTAGCAGGAGGAGAATTGGGAAAGTCCTGTTCTGTGAAGTCTGCAGATTGTTGGATACATGCCAGCCATCACACAATCCTCTCTGCTTATGGTGCAGCAGCTGTCTTACATTCAAAATGGCTCTCATGCTGGAGCTAGTCATGAAAATATTGCCTGTTTCAGTTATATGGGCCTTCCCACTTAAAGAACAGTCCTTATATATAGCAAAAGCATTTTCCGTTCCATACCATAAAAAACATCTTATTTTTATTTTGTTATCTGACAGTTCCAGTACAAAAAAGACTATGAACGTGCCAAAGGCAAACTGATTGGATTCCAGAGCCTCCAAGACGACCCCAAACTGGTCCATTATATGAATGTAGCCAAGATGCAATCCGAGCGGGAGTACAGGAAGGGTTATGAGCAAAGCAAGACCAAGTACAACACTCCACTGGATATGGTCAATGTTGTAGCTGCCAAGAAGGCCCAAGAAATTGCCAGCAACACCAATTACAAGCACCTGGTGCACCATTACACTTTCTTGCCTGATGCAATGAGTGTGGCATTGTCCAAAAACATGATGCAGATACAGAGTGATGTAAGTGTGTCTTATTCAAGGTGGGTCTAAACAAACAGACAGGCAAAGAGAAATAAGGAAAGGATATCTACTCATCTACTCGTTGTCTTCTTCCTTCCTTTTTATTACCCAGAATCTTTACCATGCAGATTTCAACAGCTGGATGAAAGGCATTGGGTGGATTCCAATTGGGTCACTGGATGTAGAGAAAGCTAAAAAAGCGGGAGAGGCTTTGAATGAAAAAAATTACCGCCAGCACCCGGACACGATCAAATTTACCAGTGTGGTAGACTCACCTGTCATGGTCCAGGCTAAGCAGAATGCACTTCAGCTTAGTGATGTGAGTAGTTTGAAAGAAAGTACAGTATCTACTAAGAAAGAGGACACTGCATGAAATATTTATGGAAACCTGGAGTTTATTTTGGTTTATGGTTTCTATGCTATATCCTTTCATCCTTAGTCCAATGCAGACCCTCATTTTAAAGAAGAATAGCTCTACTAAACTCCCCTGACGATGAAACAACCACTATAAATACAATGCGTGGTAATAAAGGCCCAGTCTGCATCCAGCATTTGCTCTGCTGTTATACCAAACCCACACTGGAACAGAAATTCCCATCTACATTGCATGCCACTTTCACTTTGATTGAGTGTCGCATTTTATGGCGGTGTCCAGACTGCATGCTGCATTCACTTTGTTTGATCACTGGGTTTATGGTGGCTGTCTGCATAGATTTATGGCTGTTTTATGGCCATGGGGGGGGGGTGATTCTGCAGTCAGTAAGGTGTTGGCTGGGGTAGTTGAATGTGGTTTTGAACTGCATATTTTCCTCTTCCAGTGTGGGTTTGGTAAAACAACTGAGCAACTGCTAAATGCAGATTGGGCCAAAGACTGGTGGTGCCACTGTACCTTTGCAACTCTCTGTTCCAAGAGGCTTGTTTTGCCAGCTCAGTGTTCTGTTTTAGAAGGATGGCAAAACCCTTCAGGAGGACCTTTTCCCTCCTGAATTCAAGAGGAGCAAAACAAAATTTGAGACCACTTCTGTAAGATTCAGAACTGCTGAATATAATGAATGTGAATTTGATACCTTCTTCAGATGAGAATGAAACTGACTTCTAAATAGCAAGAGTTAATGTTATTCTCTCAATTACATATATTGGTATGCTTTCATGATTGTAATTTGTTAACATATACTTTTGAAAACATACCTATTCTCCACTGGGATATTTGTGGCTTTCTTTCAGATAAGAAGGCAAATTAGTATGCATGGAAAGGTACAGTGCAAATCTAAGCAGAGTTACACCCTTCTAAGTTCATTGAAGTCATGCCTGTTACCTTGGAAGTAAGTCCCACTGTGTCTAATGGACATTATTTCCAAGTATGTAGACAGAGAACTGCAGCCAAAAGCCATTGAACTAGCACATAGTGTTCTATGGAGTGTTCTACTTGGACACAGAGGCATTTATTATTACCCTGTTCCTTTCTTTCACAGAGACTATACAAATCTTCTGGAGAGGAAAACAAGCATAAGTACAACTTGCCTTCTGATGCCCCTCAGTTCATACAGGCTAAATACAATGCAGCTAATATCAGTGATGTAAGTGGTAATTGAAAAACTTTGGTTCATTTACAGCTTGGCAAATACAGATTGTTAGAAGGCAGATCACATTACCTCCCTTATTCTTATTTGTCTTTTTCACTGGGAAGTCTGGACATTTAATCCATTTCTTCTGCACTTCCTCATTTTAGTTTACAAACTGAGAATTATATATTCCTTATTGTCTATGATTATGTGCAGTTAAATAGAGAACAGCAGTTATATGTACTGCTGGGACAGTTCTGAATAATAATAATGATAATAATAATAATAAGAGTTGGGTTTTATACCATCTTTCTCTACCCTAAGGAGTCTCAAAGTGGTTTACAATCACCTTCCCTTCCTCTCCCCACAACAAGCACCTTGTGAGGCAGGTGGGGCTGAGCAAGTTCTGAGGGAACTCTGACTGGCCCAAGATCTCCCAGCAGGCTTCATGTGGAGAAGTTGGGAAATCAAACCTGGTTCTCCAGATTAGAGTCCGCCACTCTTAACCACTACACCACACTGACTCTCATTAGTAGTTGCTTATATGGCTTGCTAAATATTTTGATCTTTGTTCCTTCCAGACTTATTACAAACTTGGATATCAGGACCTACTAGCCAAAGGGCCCCATATACTTGGCGATGCTATTCCAATTACTTTAGCTAAGGCTTCGAGAAACATTGCTAGTGACGTAAGTATCCAAATCGATTCAGTTTGTATCACTCTTCAAAGCAGCCTTAGGGGATTTTGGCACCCTGTGCAAACGGCATCATGCTCTTCCTCTCCATGCTTAGATTATTTTACTTCCAGATTGAACAACTGCTATTCACTCATCCTGCCGGCCTTTGTGGTTTATTTATCTACAAAGTTTATATCCCACCTTTCGGACGAAACAGGGCCACCAAAATGGTTAAAGCAGAACATTATAAAACTTATCTAAAATCAGTTAAAACTGCAAATAAAACCAGTAATTAAAACATAGGGTAGGAAGGAGAAGTAAATAAGAGAACGCCAAATTACAAAAAAAGAAAAAATGTCTTCACCTAGTGGTGGAAGACAGTGATAGAAGGGGACAGGCAAATATCCTGGGGGAGGATATTTATGCCCTGATAGGACATATTTCACTTCTTCCATCATCACTCCATTGCAAGTCACCTGCCCTTGCTTATGCCCCTGTTTTCCACTTCCCATCATGTGCATGGTTATGGTGGCTCTGGAGGTCAGGTGTACTGCAGAGGATTTTAAAGTTAAAAGAGAAGTTAAAGGAGCTGGGGAGTACTCTCTGTCTCTCCTCCTCCCTCTTCCTTCACTGCTGCTATGAGGTGAGCAGCTGTTCTGTACTCTATTGGCCTCTTTCAGTGGCCTTTAAAATTTAAAGGGCCATTATTTTGAATAGGAAGGAGACCTGGTCTCCCAAGTCTGGAGGTCTACTGCCTGTTGAAACAGTGACCTTTTGAACTTTAAAGGGTATTTAAAGGCTGATGTGCCACACACCACCTGGGGCATGCTCTATACTCTCTAGTCACTCCTGCTGTCTCTGGGGGAGAGCAGTGTAGGCTCAAAAATTATTTTAATGTATTTTATTAGTTTCTCGGCACAATTGTAGTTTTTGTTCTGTTTTGGGAGTATTGTTCCAATATCCAGACATGACTTTCTAATAGAATAACAACATTCCTGATATTTTATGAAAACAATAATTGTGCCATTGCACATTCACTGCTCAGAGAGTAAGAACCATACCAGAAATCTGCAGGAAAAGCCTTTGAAAGGGCCACAGACCATCAGCAGCAGGGCAGTCAAGACATAGTTTTGAAGTGTGGTACAAAAACATGATAACTAGAGTTTTTTGGACTAGAGTATTTTAATTGATCTAAATTTTCGTAGATTCTACCTAAAAATAATGATATGAACCACAAAACAATGCAGTGATGATGAACGCTACCACCCATGGCTCTGCCACAGCATGTAATCTTTAGCTGCCACTAAAGGTCCATTTAAACTACATAGTTTTACAATATTTGTGAAACTATGGCAATGTGGTCTCTTTACTTCCTCAGGGAGAGGATTCCAAAAGATCCTACCACCGCCCCCCAAAAGAGTAAAACTCAACAGTGGTCAATTGGATAATTTTTAGGCAGGGAGACTAATAGTGGGACAGATGGTTCTTCAAGCAGGCAGGCCCAAGCGGAGTGGGGCTTAATGGTCGACAACACCCCTTTGAGTTGAATTTGGAAGCATATTAGATAAGAAGTGAAAATGTTTCAGGTCAGGAGCAATATGCTCCCAACCAGTGTTCCCTCTAAGATTAGTGTGAGCCAGCTGACAGTTTTGGAGCCTCCGGCTCACACATTTTTGTCTTAGCTCAGGAAGGATGGCTCCAGAGCAAATTAATTTATGCAGTAACCAAATCGCTCTCTCACAACTTTAATGCCAGTAGCTCACAAAGTAGAATTTTTGTTCACAAGATTCCACAGTTTAGAGGGAGCATTGCTCCCAACTCTGGGCTCAGTCTAACAGACAGGTAGCCATTTGAATCATCTGAATACAGGTAACAGTTTTACCTGATGTGTGTTAGGATGACCCGGATAACTACTCCAGGAGAAGGTTCTAGGACCTTGATAATCTAAATGGGCTTTCGTACAGCCACCCCAGCAGAATGCTTATTTCAGAAGGAGATCTCAATCCATCCGAGGGCATTCACTCTCGCTAGATGGCAAGCCCTCCCAACAGCAGTAGTAGCGGGCCAATGTAAAAAGATTCCTTTGAATGAAAGATTATGTCCCTGTGGCAGTTGCGAGATAAAAACAACAGAACATATCCTCCTTTACTGCTCCTTTTACCAAATGAATCGCTCAAAATTTATCTCCCCCCTGCTCAATAGAAACTCTGGGTGTTCAAATCTGGGATATGTTAAAATGTTGCTCCTGGGAGAAAACCCGCAGGTGACTGCACTTTGTGCAAAATTCTGTGCAGCAGCCTGCAAAACTTGCCCGAATGTTCGAGAAAGTAAGGAAACATAAAGTATGATATAAACCAATATATGTAATTTTATAAATTTTAAGTCTTAGGTTAAAATCCTTCTCTCATAATATATCTCTTCATATTATTGGAATGTTATTTACAATTTCTTATACAAAGTTTAGGAGCTGCGGTGGCTCAAGTGGTTAAGATGCTGAACTGCAGGCTGTGGAAGGTCAGTAGTTCAGCAGTTCGAGACCTGAGTTGCCGCATGACGGAGTGAGCTCACGTCTCTAGTTCCAGCTTCTGCCAACCTAGCAGTTTGAAAGCAAGAAATTGCAAGTAGATAAATAGGTACCACTTCGGTGGGAAGGTAACAGCGTTCCGTGCGCCTTGGTGTTTAGTCATGCCGGCCACATGACCACGGAAACGTCTTCGGACAGCACTGGCTCTTCGGCTTTGAAACGGAGATGAGCACCGCAACCCTAGAGTCGGACTTGACTGGCTTTCGAGCGAGGGAACCTTTACCTATACAAAGTTTACTATAGTTTTATCTGAAACTTTTAATGATTTTGGGTGATGTCTACGGTATATTTTGTTCTGTGTTTCATGCTGGTGTAATACCGTAATAAATCACTTTGAACTACATTGGTTTTCTACCATAAGGAGATTCTATGTTAGAAAAGTTTGCATTATGAAGTATGCAACAAGTTTTCTTGTTGCATACTTCACAAGGGGAAGTTTTCTTCACCGCAAAAATGGAAGGGAATTCTGCATACACAGTGTTTAGATATCCATGCATAATGACCATCTCTCTTTCTCTCTGCTGGAATTCTAGTACAAATATAAAGAGGCTTATGAAAAGGCAAGAGGAAAACATGTTGGTTTCAGAAGCCTACAAGATGATCCTAAGCTTGTCCATTCCATGAATGTTGCAAAAATGCAGTCTGACCGTGAGTACAGGAAAGACTACGAGAAGAGCAAGACTAGCTACCACACACCTGTGGAGATGGTCAGTATCCAGGCTGCAAAGCAAGCTCAGGATGTAGCTTCTAACTCCCACTACAAACACCTGCTCCATCATTATACGTGCTTACCAGATGCCATGAGTGTTGAGCTGGCAAGGAACAGGATGCAGATTCAGAGCGATGTAAGTATTACGGGCTTCAAAAATCTCCAAACAAACATGCTGTGCAATGCAGTTGATGTGGAGAGGAATGTAATTGTACTTCTAGGATGGTATCTCTTTTTCATTATTTCTAAGATTTAGTTATTTTTACCGAGGTTGTAGAACACAAGCTTTGTCCAGGATCCATGGCTATCAGGTTTGCTTGCAGTGCCATTCTAAAGCAGAGTAGTACCCTTCTACACCCATTGGGTTGTACTTAGGATGGCACTGTTATTGTTACAAAGGAAAGGGATAGAGACATGGAGGGCCCATAACTCCTTGGCTGTCTTTCAGCAATACATTTTCTCTTCTTCTTCTAATTGTACAATAGCTCTGACTTGCAAGGCACATCTACCTGTACTGCGGATGCAGATGTGTACCTGAACAAGGATGTATGTCATAATGCTGATCCAGTTTTTATTAATGGATGTGAGCCTGCATGGTGTAGTGATTGGCAGACCCAAGTTCCAGTTTCCATTCTGTTATGGACACTCATTGGATAACCTTGGGCTTGTCACATGCTCGCAGCCTGACCTCCCTCACAGAGTGAAGGATGAGGGGAGAATTTTGTAAACTGCTTTGGGTCCCCATTGGGGAGAAAAGTGGATATAAATGAAATAAATGTATTGAATAGAGGTCTCCATCTGAAGCCAATATGACTACAGGTAGATTGGCGCTAATATGCAGGGGGAAATTTAGTTAGCATCGCTAATTTTATTGTTTTATTACATTTATTTAAATGAGTTAAATTCAATAAACTAGTGCAGCTCATGCTGAATATGGGGTCATATAAGTTCTGTTAGATACTGTATTCCTTTCCCTCCCGCGTTTGAAATGCAAAGTACTTGCATACAAACTTTCATTCCAGTGACTGAATGTCCAAGGGATGTATTATATTGCACTGTATTTCATTGGTGCCTTTGAAAAAAAGATTGAACTGGGATTTGTACTTGGCTTGTAAAGTTTTCTAAATGTGTCCGCTGACTTTCATAGTTCCCTTTCCAATTTTAAGAAACATTACATTGTATTTTGTGTCTTTCATTCCCCTTTGGAAACAGGCATGGAGAACTGAGCAGAGATTTGAATCTGAAGCATCAAATGTTACCTTAACTATGTATATCATGTTCCATGCAGATATCATGTAGTTTAACAGAATTCTCACATTAGAAGCACAACAAAAGGATGCTGGAGGGGCAAATAGTTAAAGCCTAGGCCTTCACTTGGTCAAAAATGACTTTCTTACCTGAGGAACTCCCCCCCCCATCCTTATACTAATACCCAAGTTGCCCCCTCCGTGCAGATATCTATATCTGCACTTTGGGGGCACTTGGGGGGCAGGGGGAGGTTTGTGCACATGTGGGGCAGTCCCCACATGTGCACAAAAATAAAAAAAGTAAAAAAAAATTCGGGGGGATGTTTAAATCCCCCCGAAAGTGCAAGAGCGTCTCCTGTGCGTGCGCAGGAGACGCTCTGCAAACGCTGCCACCGGCCGGGTGGGTGGGGAGGGGGGGAGGCCGGGCGGGGAGGAGAGGCCTTGCTGCCGCCGCCGCCTCCTCCCCGGAGCCGGCAGGCCGGCTGGGTGGGTGGGTAGGAAGGCCTCGCTGCCGCCTCCGCCTCCTCCCACTACCTCCTTCTCCGGGCTCCAGCCCTCCGGCGGCCCGGGGGCTGCATCAATTAGTTTTCTCTGGAGCCACCTCCTTCCCGAGCGGAGACAAAAACGTGCGAGCCGGAGGCTAACAAGCGGTGAGCTGGGGGCGAACACGGGCCTCGCCGCTGCCGCCGCCCCCGCCGCCTCGGGGAGATGGGGGGGATGGAGGAGACGGAGCTCTTCTCTCCCCCCCCCACGAGTATCGCGGGTCCCCCTCTTGTTCATTTACAATTTAATAAATTTAGTGTATGGTTATGTATGAGCCCGCCTTGGTGGGGAGGGCAGGGTATAAATTGAATTAAATAAATAAATAAGTAAATAGCTGGAATCTGGAAGGGATAGATAAAAGTACCTTAGAATATATTAATGCAACGTCAGATGTAGGAACTGTTCATGGTAGTTTGTAAGCACCTAAGAATTTGGTAAGTTAGGTTGCAGCAGTGTAATATTCTGGAAAGTGTTCAAAGACAAAGATGAAGCATTGTGTTTATCTTTGTAGACAGAACTACATCTAGTTGAGTACAGCAGTTTTTGTAGGACACGGGAAATGTGTTATGTAATAATTGTTCTCTTCTTTGAATATCTGTTTGTTTCTTTCTCCCCTAGAATGTTTACAAACAAGACTACAACAGCTGGTTCAAAGGAATTGGATGGAGTCCTTTGGGTTCACTAGATGTGGAAAAAGTTAAAAAAGCTGGAGAGGCATTAGATGAACATAAATATCGCCAGCATCCAGACACCTTCAAGTTCACAAGTTTGTCAGATTCAATGCCAATGGTTTTGGCTAAGCAAAACACCAAGCAGCTTAGTGATGTAAGTTCTTGCAAATGCCAGCCTACCATATTTTAAATTAAAAACATAAATTTAAAAAATGACTGTGTTTGAAAATGTGCAGAATCATTCTTGAGTTTCTTTTCAGTTTGGTGCCTTAATTTCACGTACTTAAGAACAAAGAACGTGCCTTAATTTCACATTATTAAGAACGGTGACACTGGACTCAAACCTTGTTCTGCTTCAGACCAATATGGCTGCCCACCCGGATCTATCTTCATAGGCTTAAGACATTCCTAGAATTTTAAGGACAGTATCACAGTTCCTAGGCCCATACATCTAGTCTTTTTCTACTAGCACCAGTAGAACGGGAGGAAAAAGGACCACTGGGAAATGGTGCTACTCCACTTCTGAAATGGACAGGGAGAAAGAGCTTGCCCAGCCTACGTTGTGGGGCTTAGCTAGGTGCCTGGTCTTTGGCACCAGTCCTACATGGGCAAGGGTCACCCTTGATTAGGGCTGCAGCAGCCCCAGTGGGGGTGGCCCCCCAGGCCATTGGGCCATTGGGGTTTTTGTCCCTAAATTTCACTTGACTTGTCACTTTTAGTGCAGCTGAATTTGGATCTCAACTGGATAGCCAGATGGACTAGTACACTATGTACTGGTATTTTGAGAAGCTAGTTATGTTTGAACATACATTAAATGTACATAAATAGTCTGCTGATCAATTCAGAATTTGGAACCCGGACCTGACCAGGATAGCTCAGGCAAGCCCAATCTCGTCAGATCTCAGAAGCTAAGCAGGGCCGACCCTGGCAAGTAATTGGAAGGGAGACCTCCAAGGAATACCAGGGCTCAGGATGCAGAGGCAGGCTCTCTTAAAAATATCTAAGCCCCCAGTAGGAGTTGCCATGACTTCCAGGCATGCAAGCACACACACACACACACACACACACACCATTACCCCGGGGGGGGGGGGGAGAAATTGGTGACCTGTACCTGCTATGTAAGACTGATGACATATGCATTGTTTTCCTTTTAGATAAACTACAAAGTGGAAGGCGAGAAAGTTAAACACACTTATCACTTGGATCCTGATCTTCCTCAATTTATTCAAGCCAGAGTCAACGCTTATAATATAAGTGAAGTGAGTATTGTATAGGTTTCCCCCCCGTAAAGTGATATCCTCCTAATAATTAGAAAAGTTTTTTTTTTTAAAAAAAAAATTAGTTTTGCTTGTAATTTTCCCCATCACTCTATTTTACCTATAGGACAGGTAAACTATTCATTCCCTTTTCAGCTATAATGATAGTGCATTCTGTTTGTGCTGAAGCTGCCAATTCTTTTTTCCTACTTGATATGACAAAAATTACTTATGCAAATGGCCTTTTAGGTTGCCTTTTGGGACTGCAGACACTTAGATGCTCAGAACAAAAGGATAATATGCTCTTTCATAAAACGTTCAGGGTAAGACTAATGCTTTTCCTCCTATTTAAGGGTCATTACAAAGCAGACTGGAAGAAGCTGATTGCCAAAGGGTACGATCTGAGGCCAGATGCCATTTCTATAATTGCTGCAAAAGGTTCACGAAACATTGCCAGCGATGTAAGTTTAACTCCTCTAAAAATTCTTGGGTTGCAGGTGGTGGTGTGCATTTCTGCAGAAGGGATTATGATCTTCTGGGCAGTAGATTATTCTGTGCTGCTGAGGAATCAAGACTTCTTGCCGACTTTAGAAATCCTTAGTGAATTCTCATCTTTTCGTTATCTAATGGCGCCATCCTAAGCAGAGAGACACCCTTCTAAGCCCATTGACTTCAGTGGACTTAGAAGGAGGTAACTGTGCCTGAGATTGCACTGTAAATCACCACCACCACCGCCATCTAACCCGTGGCTACGGAAGAGTCACCTGCGTCTTCTGACGTGCTGGGCAAGCTTCTGATGCAGCTAAGTGGACACTACCCGTCAGCTATGCAGAGCTGGATTTCTACTCTCTGGTTCACCCTGAAGTGGGGAGACAGTTCCCAATTAATTCCAAAGTGAGGAAGGGGAGTTAGGCAAATTTCTGAGCAGCAGGAGGGAAAACCTCATTGAAAACCAAGACAGACGTATGTTACTGCTCAAGCTTTATTCATTTTCTTGGTTACCTGTCACCTAACATCTTCAGGACTACTAGGGCGGGCAGTTCCTGGCATGCTTCCCCCGTCCTTTGCTCCAGGGACTCCTGGGAAGCTGTGGCAGGTTGTGGTGCTGTCACTGCTGGGAGGTGGTGGTTTGGGCAGCAGGAGTGGGGGTGGGCTCCTATCTCTGGACACCTGACCTAGATGGCCCAGGCTAGCCCAATCCTGTCAGGGCTCAGAACCTAAGCAGGGTTGGCCCTGGTTAGCACTTGGGTAGAAGATCACAAAAGGAAGTCTAGGGTTGCTACACAGAGGCAGACAATGACAAATGACCTCTGTTCATCTATTGCCTTGAAAACCCTACAGGATTACCATAAGTTGGCTATGGCTCTTGTCACCATCAATTATGCCTAACTATTGACTGTTAAAAACTTTTAAATTAATTGTCAAACTGTTTTGGTTTGTTTTCCAGTACAAGTACAAGGAAGCCTATGAGAAAGATAAAGGAAAACAAGTTGGGTTCCGTAGTCTGCAGGATGATCCTAAATTGGTCCATTATATGAATGTGGCCAAACTACAGTCCGATCGGTTATATCGGAAGGATTATGAAAAGAGCAAGACTAAGTATCACACCCCTTTCGACATGTTCAGTGTGACAGCTGCTAAGAAAGCCCAAGATGTCGTTACCGATATAAACTACAGACAATCTTTACATAATTACACCCTGTTGCCTGATGCCATGAGTCTGGAATTGTCAAGAAACAGGATGCAGATTCAGAGTGATGTATGTTATTTGTTGATGATGGTGCTTGTGGTCATAGCACTAACTAATATCTAGGAAGGATTGTGGCAGAATGCTAAGCTAGGATTCTATCCCTTTAGATCCAATTGCTCAGGGTTTTTTTTGGCTCAGATGTGCTGATTTGACAGACGCGATGCATGTTGTGCTCTGGTAGATTCTGAAGTCATTGCACTTTCCCAATTTTTTTTGACATGTGTTACACCTTTCTTGATGAATTAATAGGCTTAATCATAGGACTGAGGAAAAGGGATGGATATTGTCCCAGCTTTAATAGTGGAGGAATATGATTCACTTCACTTCCTCCATTTTAGTAGGAATCCATAGTCACTGAACCAACTGTTTTAAAATGGCTGCCAGGAATGGTCGGAGTGATGATTGTGGCCAAGCACCAAGTAACACAGGTCATACTTACCAGACAATGGATTTATATTAATACATAATATCCTCCTTCAAAACAGTCTGTGTTTCTTGGCTATGATAAGGTACCCTCGAGGGGAGGCCATTTGCTCAAAATGGTTATGGGCTTCCACTTTAGGGGACAGGAGTTCACTGGGATATGATATGGAGCCACCATCCCAACTACAGACCATTTTGTGGCAGTGGAAGAACATGTTACTCTTAAATGTGAAAGCTGACATTTCTCTTTATATCCCATTTCCCCCCTTCCTTTAAAGAATCTTTACAGAGCAGATTTCAGTACCTGGCTGAGAGGAATTGGTTGGGTGCCAATTCAGTCTCTAGATGTAGAGAAAGCAAAGAAGGCCACTGATATTCTTAGTGAAAGGAAGTATCGTGAGCACCCAGACAAGCTGAAATACACTCTTGACATGAATTCCATGGAGCAAGTGCTTGCCAAGCAAAATGCCATTACCATGAATAAGGTAATTAAAAACACACGCCTATTTTTTCCTTTGATGAGTGTAGCTGTCTTTCAAAATGCAAAGTGTATGAGAAGGATATGTAGATTCTGTTCTTCCAAAATAATGCTGCTGAAAATTAAGAGTACCTATTGTGAGAAGGGAGAAAGGGGTTGTGTGACCATATGTATGATCACTTAAAGAGCATCAATTTCAAGTAAGCAACCTACTTTTTTTGTGTTTAAGAACACTTATTTTCAGAGTGTTCTAGTAGGTTATTAGCAGTGCCTTCCTAAGCAGAATCATACCCTCCTAAGCCCATTGACTTCAATGGACTTAGAAAGGTATAACTCTGTTTAGGATTATACTGTAGAAGCGTTACCTACCCCAGTTGGCTCCTTGGAAGTGATTTGGTACAAACAAACACTATTCTGAGCTCTTTTCTGACATTTGATTGTGGCACTTCAGCTGTGTGTTATGAGAACATATGTTATGCTTGATTCTCTTGCTACATGCCAGTACTGTTTTGTCTAAATGAAGCTACAAAATGGCAACAAACATACCAGGAGGGTTGTGTGTAGCACAATCTCCTCTTATGCATAGTTGGAGAACCAAAATTAAGCATCTGGAAAAACGTGCTGGGGAAATTATTTATGGAAGTGAATTGCATGGCAATCTGACTTTATTACTCCTGCTATATAGCAATGACTCACTTTGGGCCAAGTCACTGATTTGTTTGGCCTGCCAAGATTAGATGTCTATAACTGGTAGACACAATCCCTCTTCTGTTTCCCCCCCAGTTCGGGTCTATTGGACCTAAAAAAATTTGGGATCCCAAAACCAGCAAAATATTCAGAGCCAGGATTCTTCTGAAATCCTGATTTTTTTTTTGGGGGGGGGTTTCCAATAGACTTGAGATGACCCCCCCAAAAAAACCCAGGAAGGGCAAAGCTGCAAAACACAGCTGAGCAGTGGGGAGGAAACAGCTCCCCGCCTCTCAGCTGTTTCCCCCATTTTTTATCGAATCCTTTTTTCCTCTAAATTTTATCTCTAAACTAGGCTGGTTTAAAGGGACTACAAAAGAAGCAGGAGGAGACAGCTGAGAGTTGGGAGCAGTCTCCCCACCTCTCAGCTGTTTTCACCATTTTTTCTGCTGTCCCTTCGAACCAGGCTGGTTTAAACAGACTTCAGAAGAAAGTGGGAACAGCTGATAGGCAGGGAGCAGTCTCCCAGCTGCTCGGCTGTTTTCTCTGATTTTTTTCTGCAGTCCCTTTAAACCAGGATATTTTAAAGGGACTGCAGAAGAAAGGAGGAAACAGCTGGAAGGTGAGGAGCAATCCCCCAGCCTCTCAGTTGTTTCCCCCATTTTTTCCTGCAGTCCCTTTAAACCAGGCTGGTTTCAAGGGACTGCAGAAGAAGCAGGGGAAAACAGCTGAAAGGTGGGTGTGGTAAGAAATTTTAGAAATATAGAAAGTTTGGGTTTAAAACAGAACCTAATAGCTTATGAAATCCATATATCTGTCTGTCTTTGCTAGCAAAACAGTAAGGAGGCCTGGCCTGTTTCAAGCGCTTTGTTCTAGACAAATCTCTTTATCGGTCACCCAGGCAAAAGTTCACAACATTCCATTCCCAGGATCTGAATCAATGAAAATTTCCATAGGTGTGAGACTCACAATTTCCTAGGCAATAAACTGCAGCTGGTCAGGAAGGCCATTTGAGGAGTGACAGATTTCAATCCAAAAAATTCCTGAGATACAGAGATTTCACACTCCCCACTTTCATCTCAGAGATAACACCAAAGGACAGTTTATTTCCCATGATTAGGAAACACCAGAACAAGAAACAATGACACTGTATTGATCCTGTAAAATGTAACTTTTGTTGTGTGAGACCAAGGAAGCAATTTCCAGTAAAACAATTTCAACTTCTAAATGTCAATTTACAACTGTAATTGTATTATTGAAGGACCTCTTTGATCATTTGGTATAAATACTGGTAAAATCCAACAGATCTTCTCTGGCTCTTGAAGGAACAAGAGAGGTCATTACGCTCTGCAGCCTTTTTGGAGTCAGCCCGAAAGGCCTTTTGTTTCTGCATGCTTTGGGTGGGATAGAACTTTGCTTGCATGTTATTTTCTGTGTCCTTTGAATGTTTGTCTTTTTAATAAAGATAAGTATTATTTTAAGAAGAGATCTTTGAGTGTCTCTGCCAGCATTTAGTGGTTTCCAACTTGCACCTTTCACCTTTGGTGAGGAGGCAACACTCAGGGGACACAAACCAGAGGGGGAGTGTGGGAACACATTTTTCATACAACAGTGGGGAGCATTCTCCCATCCTCTCAGCTGTTTCTCCTAATCTTCCCAGTTCCTGAAAAAAATCCAGGATTTTTTCAGGATTTTCCACCCTGTTTTCCTGAAAAATCCCAGATACTTTTGGAATGCTGAAATATACCTGAAAAATATTTTCAGCTTTGGAAGCTCCAAATCCAAATCCTGGAAGATCCCTTACTTTCTGCTGCCATTGTGTATATTGAAATTAAGTGTATCTTTGTAGGATTTAAGAATGAAAATAAATTATAATTAGTTTTGTCTACCAGAGTAGACAAAATATAGTCACCATTCTTGAGAAATGAAAGTTAATCTGACATGACAAAACAATTATTTTGTTATATTTTACATGAGCTGTTATGAAACATGGTGGTTTGTAAAATCCTTAGGGGCAGAGACCTCTGATTGTGGGGGGGCTTAATAAAACTGCTGCACACTTTAACAGCACAGTGCATATAAATAAAACACCAAGACAGAAAAAGTGATATCTTCATTTTTCCTTTTCTACTGCAGAGGCTTTATGTTGGCAAATGGAACAAAGAGAAGACTGAGATTCATGTGATGCCCGACACACCTGAAATTCTCTTGTCCAGAGCCAACCAAGTCACCATGAGCAATGTGAGGTTTGAAAACAGCAAGCAGCCTTCCTACCCTTAATGTGGTGCCACTTTTTAGGCTGCATCTCTGAAAGTGCAAATACCAACTGTATGAGAGCAGTCTTCTGTAATTTTCTTCCAAAAACCCCCCATTTTCTCTAATTGTTTTCCTTTATCTCTCTCTCTTTTGGAACAGAAACTGTACAAGGCTGGATGGGAAGAAGATAAGAAGAAAGGTTATGATCTGAGGGCAGATGCTATTTCAATAAAAGCAGCGAAGGCTTCTAGGGACATTGCAAGTGATGTATGTTTTAATTTTTGATATTGCCTTCCGTATATTTAAGAAAAGCAAACAGAAAATGCTGATTTCTTTCTAGTTGAACCCTGCCCCACGTTCACACAATGTTTGTTCTGCCTGCGTTCTTTCAGTTAAAATTATAGACTCTTTTGGACAATGTGGGAAACAATTCTTAGGTCCCTGTCACACGGAGAATTTGCCTCGCGAGAGGCATGACTGCCAGGCAGATTAAAAGGGCATGATCATACGGCAACATCTGGCAAGCATCGCGTGCCCGTCTCCAACCCGTAGCATCCGGGCAAAGATGCGGAGTTAAAAAGTAGCTGGGAAAGTGTAGTATTATCTGGAAAATGCAGGGCACGGGCGGGCGTCTGATTGCGGAAGCACTGGTATCCCATCGCATCCGGCACCCGTCCGCGTCCCACCGGATGTATTCTTGTAAGCCTCCGTGGTATGCGCACAAATGTGCACGTGCACAAATGTGGTACTGCTTCGTTGCCACTAATAATAATAATAATAATAATAATAATAATAATAATAATAATAATAATAATAATAATAATAATATTTCCATTTATTGATCGCTCAATCCATGCAGAGTCGGCTCTGAGCGATTTACAGTTACTCATTAAATTCACATGGGACTAACAATGTTGGGGGGTAAGGGAGGACAACATATATCATTTAAATCACACACATTTTGAAGTTCTTGGAATATGGTTAGCTGTAAAGTCCAGTCGTGTTCCAGCAGCACTCCTTCAGCGTCGCCTGATGTCGTCAGCATTGTCTTAGTCGCAGCACATCACTGCCACCATCTGGCCGAATGGCTTATTGCAGCCTTTTTCTTCAACGCTGCGTAGATTTTTCCTCAGCTTACGGAGCTTATGCGCAGACCCTCCGATCGGCTAACACAACTCCCACCGGGGGGTTTTGTGTGCCCACTCTCTCTAAGGAGTGGTACCCATTTTATCTACTCGCTGAAGCTTTCAAACTGCTGGGTGGACGGCGAGCTGGGGGCAAGGGCTGGCAGCTCACACCAGTGCGGGGCTTGAACTGACAGCAGTCCTGTTCAGCTCAGCTGTTTTAACCAGAGGATAAATCCCCTGTGCCACCGCTCCACTTCTCCATCACCATGTGATCGGTGGCTCACGGCCTGAGCACGGCGCCTCGGGGGATTTTGCTCCAGAGCAAAAAGCCTCACTTCCCCCCTGGATTATCTCGCTTGTGTGACCGGGGCCTTAGTGTTGCTATTTATTGCCTTAGTTTGTTACAGACTTCCAGAGTTTTGTTGCTTTCCAATTACCTGCTAATGCTTGGTCCATCAAAATGCCAAGCCTATTGCGTCTTTGTGTGGGGATTTTTATATATTTCACATTTGGTTGCTGTATCAAGGAGAGATAACTCTATAGCTACAGATCTACTCAAGAGAGAAAATATCTGTTCATGAGATAACTCTATTGCTACAGATCTACTCAAGAGTAATACAAGTAATTTGCTAGCACCAGCTACACTGCTTCATGAGGAGGTCAGTGGTAACTATTCTATGGCCCGTATCATGGCTTCAATCTGATACAGGGGTTGTGCTCTTAAAATCACTAGTCTGAACTAGCTTAATGGTGCTTAACTCTGTGCTTGACTGTGACTCAAGTATGTGCAGACCCTTAGGTATGATGAATTCCTTTACTGTTAAAATATAGGTGTGTAGAGGGAAGGGGGTAAATAACAACGTCAGTGCTTTTTTGGTCTGGTCTCCTAACAGTTCTCATCTTTTTATTTACAAACGCTCAACACAGAACAGCTGATAGGAAGTATAAAATATGATTAGCCATTTTCATTCGCAAGTTTTTCTTTGCCTTGTTTTAACAAAAGTGTATTTATCATTTACAGTATAAATACAAACTGGCCTTTGAGCAGGCAAAGGGAAAGCACATCGGGTTCCGGAGTCTCGAAGATGACCCTAAGCTGGTGCATTTTATGCAAGTTGCTAAAATGCAATCGGAACGTGAATACAAAAAAGACTATGAGAAGTCAAAGACCAGGTTCCACACCCCAGTTGACATGTTCAGTGTTGTGGCAGCCAAGAAATCTCAGGAGGTGGCGACAAATGTAAACTACAGGAGTATTATCCACAGTTACAATGTTATGCCTGATGCCATGAGTCTTGAATTGGCCAAGAACATGATGCAGATACAGAGTAATGTAAGTAAAGGACTCTACAGCCTGTGAGTTACCAAGGGTCTGATTAGATGAGATGCTAGGAAATCTACAATCAGATCCTCCCAGCATTCTTTAAATACCAATAAACAGTTGCCCAAGGGCCCAGTTCAGATCAGGACTGTGGGTCTTCAGGAGAAGGCATTGAATCCTTTAAAGTTTCATATGCATACTTGGTGCTACCAAAGATGGCAGAGATATCCCTGTTTGCTGGCTAGAGCACAAAAGGATGAATTACACTCAGTCTTTCACTGCCAACAATAGAGTGGATCCTCTCTCATGCGAGAAGAGCTGTGCTACTTAAAGAGAACTTTCCCTACTCTCACCCTCACTCTAGCCTGCTGTGAACCCTGAAATTATGCCCCCAGCCATCAGTGGACACCTGGGAAGAGCATTTGGGGCAAAGTGGAGAGTGTTGGGAGGGGGAGATCACTAAAATTTGGGCATAAGCAGGAAAGGACATTACTTTTGAAGCTGGTAAGTTATTTTTGCTTCTGGATGAGAATCAAACTTCTGGAGAATTCCTCATATTCTATTTCCATCAGTGTTCAGTGTCAAAATCTCAGTTCTTCCATCCAACAGATCTTTCTACCTCTTAAAAGACTACCGTAAATAGCACGCATGAAATTTACAGAAAAAGTTACATATTTCAATAAAGGTGCAAGTTCTTACCATTTCGGTTCAGTGTTACACAAACCATTCCATAACAAGACCAACAGCAACACAGCATACAGAAGCACCGTTTTTTGACCGCTAAATATAAAATTGCTATTCCAAAAAGATACAGTTGGTTGCTTCTAATAAACCAGTATATCAGCTTCATTTTAAAATACTAGCTGTGAATTAAAATATCACCAATGAACACTGACTTTAAAATAAAGAGTAGTTTACCTAGCATTTTTCATTTGTTTTATTTCATTTTCTCTTCAGAATCAGTACAAGGCAGACTATAATGAATTTATGATGGGAGTTGGATGGATGCCATTAGGATCTCTAGAAGCTGAGAAGAATAAGAAAGCCATGGAGGCTGTAAGTGACACGAAGTATAGACAGCATCCTGACAAACTGAAGTACTCCATCCTAATGGATTCTATGCCCATGGTCCTGGCTACAAATAATGCAAAAATTATGGATGAGGTAAGAAAATAAACATCCTCAAGCAGATATTTGGAGAGGCAGGATATACATGTGCTAAAAATTAATGATTTTATGTCTACAGAAAAGCAGAGCAGACACAGTACTCTACAAATTTGATTTCTAAGAATGAGGCATCTAGAGATCCAATGTAAAAGAACATGTAGACCAGTGACACCTGAGCACAAAGAAATAAAAATTCGAACCCTCACATATTAATAAACACATTAATAAATACATGACTGAGAAGATCTGAGGTTTAGTTATTGACAGAAAAATTACACCAATGGTAAACTTTCCTGTGTAGTTAGCATGTAACTGATTCACTACCTTCTACAAGGTCTCCTAAATCTCTTAAGGAGATTTGAAAATACCATCACATTGTGGGGAAAATATTGGCAGGACAGCCCATGCTTAGTTGCTCTTCCTGTTCAAAGTAGTTGAAAAAAGCTGTAATCAGAATAAAGTTTGAGTTCCGTGGTACCTTTAAGACCAACTAAGTTTTATTCAAGGTATAAGCTTTCGTGTGCATGTGCACAGAAGATTAAACCTTGAATAAAACTTTATTGGTGCATGCACACTTTGTTTGTGCCTGCACACGAAAGGTTATACCTTGAATAAAACTTTGTTGGTCTTAAAGGTGCCACTGGATTCAAACTTTGTTCTGCAGCATCAGACCAATGTGGCTACCCACTTGAAAGCTGCAATCAGTAATGAATGATTTGGACAGATGTCAGATGCTACTTCAGAGAATCTTGGTCTTGTTGCTGTGAAACTTCCCTCCACTTCAATGAAAAATCTGCTGCCTTAGTGCATGACTGCCATATGTGTGGTGATTATGTATCAAGATTGGTATCAGAAATTGTTGTTGTAGGGTGCCTGTCAATGCTCATGACCCTTCAGGGGGGCCACTGCCAACCCCTGGTGCACACCATCCCTGTTGGTTTTCTTCTTAGACAGTTCTATCTGCTTGACTGCTGTCTTCAATTAAGTGGGCAGCAATAGCAGTGAGGGAAAAGAGCAGCTACCACAATTACCCTCACTGTTCCCTCTCCATCTGGGTAGCAGTGGGGATTTGGCCCACAGAGGGATGGTGAGTGATTGTGTAGCAGCAAGGAGGTGGACCCACGGTGGGAGGTTAGGTCTGTTGAGGCCCTCTCATCCAATGAACTCCTCTCCCCCTTCCAACCCCCCCACCCTGGAGCCAGCACTTAGAGATGACTGAACATTAATTCTTGATTAGTACTGTGCTGAGCTGAAACAGAACTGGTAGTGATTGTGTCAATTTGAAATGTTAGGAACAGCATGAAACATCTTTGTTCCAGAGATGCAAATACTTCCGGGGGGGGGGGGATAAGTTGACTGCTGAGCTTTGCATCATTGCCAAAAAAAAAAAGGTTTCTAGAGTTTATTTTTGCAATAGCAAGAACAAATAGTAGAATTTGACACTTAGCAGTATCATATGCATGCAATTTATAGTCTAATTCAGGAAATCCCAAACTTTTAAAACCTGTGGGTACATTTGGAATTCTGAAACAGCATAGTGTGTGCAGCCACAAAATGGCTGCCACAGGAGGTGGAGCCAGCCACAAAAACGATGTAGTTTACCTTCAGTCCCACAGCAAAGATGTGCTGTGGTGGCAGCTGTTGCCAAAGCAACATTTTAAAGAATATGCACAGCCAATCAAATCTCCAGTGGCTCATCCGAAGCCTTTCTGGGCAAAAGTACCACCAGGCCCTGCTCACTTTCTAAAAACACTTGACAGACACCGGGAATGGTGTCAGCAGCCACAATGGTGCCCACAGGTACCACATGGAGGCTCCTGGTCTAATTCATGCCCTCTTTAAACAAGTATGATTGTAATGCTTGTGGTAAGTGATTTCTTTTGGCAGATGTTGATAGAAGTTTTACTTACTTTTTCAGCACCTTTACAAACAGGATTGGGAGGCAGACAAGACAAAGATTCACATAATGCCTGACATTCCTGAGATTCTTTTGGCAAAAGCAAATGCCTTTAACATCAGCAATGTAAGTATGACTGCTGCCTAGCTGGAGCTGTTGTTCCAGTTCCTTACCAGTAGAGATAATTAAAAATGAAGTATCAGGCCATATATTTACCATTCTGGCAAGAGCTGTCTATTCCATCCCAGCAAAGCTTAAATACAAGTGAAGCCGATCAATACCTAGAATACATTATTGCCTTGGGGTACAGTCTTTCATTGTTACTCACAGGTAAGTCTCAATGATCCAATGATCCAGGTTTCATTTTGCTAGAAGCCACATAGTACTTTCTGTTGTGGTGGCAGAAAGTGCAGCTGTTAGTGGACTGAATCCAACCCACTGGCTTTAGTCCAGGACTGGAGCCTCTTATTTATGATTTTTCAGGACTGCTAATGAAAATAGGGTTATCACTGTCAAATTTTTAGAAAATGGCTAACAATTGGGCTCTAGTGGAGCTCTATACAATTGTAGTTGATGTAGCTATGATACATTTATAGGGATGGGCACAAACCAGGAAAATGCCGTTCACTTGAGTTTGTGGTTCATGGCATGCCCAGTTCGTGAGCCACGAACCATCATGAACTTTTAGTCCCCAAACAAACTGGTGACATGGTAGAATGCCCCCCAGTATGCTAGAGACACCAAATCTGCAGGGGATCTCTGGCTGACTCTCCTCTATCTGCTCTCCAAATTTGGTGAAGATTGGATTTATGGGTCCTGAGGTATGGCCCCCCCAAGAAGGTGCCCCCATCCTCCACTCCTTCCAATGGAGGGGGGAAGCACAAAAAGCAAGGGCAATAGAAGCCCAGCAGAACCAGTGCTGCTGTGGTAATGCAAACCCAAAAGGACTAACTTCGAGCCAGAAAATCTCTGCAGTAGAAATTGAAGGTGGGGGACATTTTTGCATGCCCAGTAGAACCAGTGCTATTGTGGTAATGCAAACCCAACAGGACTAACTTCAAGCCAGGGAAACTCTGCAGTAGAAACTGAGGGTGGTGGTGGGCAATTTTGCAAGCCCAGCAGAACCAGTGCGATGTACAGAGTACCCACCAGTACCAGTGCAATCACAAAGTGCCCAGCAGAATGCATTGCCAGTGTGGCAATGCCAGATCAACAGCACTGATGTCAAGCACAGAATCACAGTCCAAGCTGGGGGGGGGCTGCAAGCCCAGCAGACCCAGTGCAATGTACTAGTGCCCAGCAGAACCCAGTGCTATGTGGCAGCTCAATCACAATTCAAGGAAGAAGGGCAGTTTAACAAGCCCAGCAGAACCAGTGCAATGTACAGAGTGCCCAGAAGTACCAGTGCAAAGAGTGCTCAGCAGAACTCAATGCCAATGTGGCAATGCCAGCTCAATCACAATCCAAGCAAGGGGTGCATTCTTGGAAGCCCAGCATAACCAGCACAATGTATAGGGGGCCCAGCGGTACAAGTTCAATCACAGAGTGCCCGGCAGAACCCAGTGCCACTGGCATTTCAAGCTTAAAAGGACTGATCTCAAAGCACAGATTCACAAATCCAAGCAGTGGGGGGAGAATTTTGCAAGCTCTGTGCAAGAAAATGGGAAGGAAACACAAAGGAACGCCAGCAAATGGGGGGGGGGGGGCTCTTGAAATGGACAAGAAGTTTGGTAAACTTTTTTCATAATATATTTTAATTTTAAGAACAAAATAGTAAAAGGGGTACAGAAGGAAAGAAAAGGGTTATATGTGGGTTATGAAACAATTGATATTTATCAAAGGTTATTACAGAATATATTAAACAAGAAAGTAAAGAAATACTTGTCCCCAGCATCCCCTTCATTAGAATTTTAAGATATTTTCTACATTTTTATAGGATTAATTTTAGTAAATCAATTTTAGCTATTTTGTAATTGTCTCTTTTAATACTGGTTTTAACAGTTTCTGGAAGCAACCTGGTTTTAGTGTCTTTTGCTGGTCTTGTTTGCTGTTTGACTTTGTTTTTATTTCCTGGTTGTATACCAAATTTATAATGGCCTTTGGCCCCATGCAATAACTCTGAGAATCAGCTAATCTATTAACATGAAAAACACAATCCCCCTTTTAACTTTCCTTTTTCAATTCACAGAAAATGTACAGACTTTCCATGGAAGAGGATAAAAAGAAGGGATATGATCTCAGAGCTGATGCAATTCCCATTAAAGCTGCAAAGGCTTCTCGAGACATCGCTAGCGATGTAAGCTGTTAAGGGAAAGCATGTTTATTTATTTGAAAATGTATGGTCTATGTGGCTTTATTTCAGTTTTATACTGTGATTTAAATGTAACAGAATACCTACAAAAATATTTTATGGATTTACAGTACACTCTTAAGAACTTGGGAGTAATAGACCTGAGTGGATTTCTGAGTAAACTTGCTTAAGTTTGCTCTTTTATGTTGAAGTCCAAAGAGTTATACACCTCCAAGCCCATTGACTTCAACTGACTTGAGATGGGTATAACCCCGCATAATGCTGCAGTGTTATAGAGCTACTCTCCGGAGACATAGTTGAGATGGCTAACAAAGTGAAAACAAGCAATACGAGCATAAAATAGTAATTTAAAAAATCCTATGAAACAGGATTGGGATTCTGTTGGTGTACCACCCAACTTTGCTGCCCAATCGTTTCCCTGTGGTAGAGGTGGTTTTGGAGGTGGCATCGAAGACTCTTGGACTGGTTGTTATGGTTAATGCCAACATCCATGCTGAGGCTACCCTGTTGGGAGCAGGAATGGTCTCCATGACAATCGTGGGCCTGTCTCAGGAAATAACAGTCCCCACACACTGTACAGGTCATACTGTTGATCTGGTGTTCTGCTCTGAAAACAAAGAAGGTAATCTGAAGGTGGGGACATTAAAGACAGTCACATTGTCATGAACAGATCACTACTTCCTGGGGTTTAACAGGGGTATCAAGATTCCACAGGGGTGGGGGATTGATTAAGATGATCCACCCCCACACTCTGATGGATCTGACTAGGTTTCAGATGACATCAGGGGTTTTTCCTGGTGATATGGTTGGCACTCTTGTCAATGCCCTGATTGGCTTCTGAAATGAGGAAATGATCCGGGCAATTGACATGATTGCCTCTAGGTACCCTCTCTCATGTCAAAGAGGCCAGGCACCCCTTGGTTTACTAAGGGGCTGTGGACAATGAAATCTTTCACATCCATTCCAATTTGGATGCTACATTATCAGTGACAGGATCAGATGGTCCCACAGTGCCAATTTTGCCCAGTTGTGTGGAATACTTTTCAGCTTCTACAGTCTGAGGATGAGGACAGTATTCTTGGAAGTTTAAGACTTGTCATCTGCTTGTATAACCCTTACCTCTTCTGGCTGCTTATATGTGTCTGGGAAGCTGGCAGACTGGGTCTGGCAGGTAAATACCTTCCTAAGAGAGGGGGTGATCTCCCCTGCCTTGAAACCTGCAGTGGTAGATCCACTCCTAAATAAACCTGCTCTGGATCCAGTGAGCAAGGTGATTAAACGAGCGGTGGCTAGACAACTTCAGGGATTCCTGAATTAAGTGGATTGTTTGAATCTGTTCCAATCTGGTTTCAGTCCTGGTTATGGGACTAGAATAGCCTTGGTCACCTTGGTAGATGGCCTGCATCAGGAGATGGACGATGCACTGTGGCCCTGTTAATTCTCTTGGAATTCTTGTCGGCTTTTGATACCAGCAGTCATGGTATCCTTCTGAACTGTCTTTTTGGGGATGGGAAGCTCAATTTCAGAGTGTGGTGCTGGGGGACTACTGCTATATCCTTTGGCCTCTGGGGGTCCCATAGGGCTCTATATTGTCGCCCATGCTTTAAAGCATCTACATAAAGCTATTTTTTATTTATTTATATCCCACCTTGCCAGCGGAAGCTGCTGGGAAAGGTCATCCAGAGATTTGGGCAGAGTTGCCACCAATATGCAGGTGACACTCAGCTCTATCTTGTGCTCCTAGCAGATCCCAGGGAGGCTGTGGAAACTGTGAACAGGTGCCTGGAGGCAGTTTTGGAATGGATGAGGGCTAACAAGGTGAAACTTAAATCACAACAAAATGGATGTGATACTTGTGGGGGGAAGGTCTGACCCAGGAAATGGGTTATCCCCTGTTCTGGATGGGGTTGCACTCCCCCTAAAGGTTCACAGCTTGGGGGTGCTCCTGGACCTGGGCCTCCTGTTAGATAAGCAGGTGGCAGTGGTGGCCAAGGGTGCATTTCACCAACTCTAGCTCTTCCTGAGTGGGAAAGTTCTTCCAGATCACTGCAATGCCTTCAGGGCTCTATTTAGGTGGAAACACAGCAGAGAAATGTTTTCAATAAATAATAAATAAAATTCATAATAAACCCCCTAGAACTTTAAAAAGTAGTGATCATAAACCAATGATAATCATAAAAGAAATTGGCAAGCACTAAAAAGAATGAGTTAAAACTTCAGTTAAAAGCCTGAGCATACTGAAATGCTTTGGCCTGGTGCCCAAATAGCAGTGGGGTAGGTGCTAGGTAAGCCTCAAGGAAAGCATATTCCAGGCATCATTAATGAGACCGCCTTTATTCTGGCAGGGACATAGATAGAAGGGCTTGAGAGGAAGATCTTAATTGGTGGGCTAGACGGTATTTGAGACGGCAGTCCTTCGAGTACCTCCACTCCAAGCTGTTAGGTTTGGCTCTGGGTCTTAAGTAAGAACCAGCACTTTGAATTGTACCTTGAAATAAATGGGCAGCAGCACAGGGTTGATACAATCCCTGTATCCAGCCACTGGCAATAAATTACAGAAGAGACCTGTCCCTGCAAGCGTAGGCTATAATCTAGCAACACCCCTAAATTACCTGTCTTTTCGTTCAGGGAGACTGCAACCTTTTCCAGAATATACTGACTCCTCAGTTCTTGACAATGTTGTCAACCTCCAGGTGGGGCCTGGAATCTCCAGAATTGCAACTGATCTTCCGACTACAGAGATCAGTTCCCCTGGAGGAAATGGCATCTCTGGAGGGTGGACTCCGCGGTATCACACCCCTGCTGAGCCTCCCTACCCAAACTCCACCCTTCTAGATCTCCAAGAATTTTCTGACTCAGAGTTGGCGGCCCTGGTTCTCAAATGGCTTTGTCCATTGATCAGTGGTACCTCAGTCCTGTCCAAACTGAGCTTCACTTAATTGGTCTTCATATATCACATTACTTTCTCCAAGCATTTTTAAGGACTTCTATAGAACTTTCCCCTAGAACTCCTACTTGGAAAGGATTTTTATAATTCCCACAGATTTTTGCCTCAAGCTGCAGTCCCCTGCACTGAATTCAGTGCTTTCCCTAAAAGTCCCTTGACCCTCAGAAGTAGGATTTCAGGGGGCGAAGTCGCTGCATGATCAAGGGGGAGGCAGGAAAGATCCCTTCTGTGAGTGAAGCTCCACTCATGGTTCTCTGGATAAAACACATTGTCATCTTTTAGGCTGTTCATGTTGAAGGATTGCAAATTAATTTTTCTAGCAGTGAAGCCCACGCAAGTTGATGAAGAAACATCACCGTTCTTAACTGTCTGAGGTAAAATTTTGCCTCCATGTTTTTTCTGTTTTCCTTGCAGTACAAATACAAGCTAGGCTATGAAAAGGACAAGGGTAAGCTTGTGGGCTTCCGCAGCCTTCAAGATGATCCCAAACTCGTCCATTATATGCAAGTGGCTAAGATGCAGTCAGACCGTGAGTACAAGAAAGCCTATGAAATCAGCAAGACGAGGTACAATACACCTGCTGATACTTTCAGTGTCATGGCAGCCAAGGAAGCACAAGCAAATATCACCAACACTAACTACAAAAGGCTGATCCACAAATACATCCTCCTGCCAGATTCATTGCAAGTAGAACTGAGCAGAAACATGAATCGGATTCAAAGTGATGTAAGAGTCTGCCTTCCCCCCCCCCCCCAGTAGTTAATGGCTACCGTCTAGACATTTTAACGTAGCTGTTTGGTGTTGCAACAGACAGCTGTTCAACTGCAGTTGTATTTTATTAACCAGGTTCTAAAAAAAATGTTATGTGCCTTTTGCACCTGCAGCATGAATACAAACAAGACTATAATGAATGGTACAAAGGACTTGGTTGGAGCCCTGCAGGGTCATTAGACGTTGAAAAGTCCAAGAAAGCCACCGAAATAGCAAGCGATACCAAGTATCGCCAGCACCCAAGTGCTTTCCCATTTTCCAAGAAGATGGACTCTATGGATATGGAGCTTGCAAAATACAATGCTGGTGTTATGAATAAGGTGACCATCTCTATCATATGTAATAATGTAATAATGACTGTATTCTCTGGGGGGGGGGGAACTATACCCCGTTTCTTTTTTTCAGCACTGTTTCAATACAAAAGTATGAGCCAGCATACAGAAATAATACAGTGTGTGCTGATTGCCATGTGTTGGAGGTTTCTGGAAAGCATATCCATAACATTTCCTTGAAATTGGGCATTTCTTCAGGATGTAACAGTTGGAAAGATGATTTATCGGCTGCTTCCATGGATGGAAGGATTTCTGTCCATGGAACATAACTTTCTCAGCCCCTCCTGCAGCCCCAAATGCCATCAATGGAAATGGTGTGGTTGATCACTTTTGCCAATGGCTGCCATATTCTCCAGTGGGAAATAATAGTGCCGTACTGGTGAATGCTGTCAGCAGTGCAGACATTCATGTGTGGACATATGACAATGGGTGGCCTGCTTTCACTGGTAGGGGGCCTTCAAGGATATGCAATATGTCTCTGTGTGCAGAGAACCCAGGCATACACTGCACTCCCTAATATGTACGTATGTGCTGCATATGGTGACCTCAGCCATGGGCTTTCAAAGCAAGTGAGAAAGAAAGGTGGTTTGCCATTGCCTTCCTCTGCAGAGCCTTTCTTGGTAGTCTCCCTTCCAAGAACCTACCCTGCTTAGCTGCAGAGATCTGTTGAGATCATGTTGTGCCATGCTGGCTTCCCTCTTGCACTCCCCAATAGTGCTCAAAATATACAAATTCTTCCTTCACACATGTGCATGTGCATGCCTACTCACACAAACACCCATACCACATGTTAGAATGATGACCACTTTGTTAATTTTGCACGAAAATCAAACTGCAGAGATACATGTATTGATAAAACTAGTAACAGATCTTTGGCCATGTGTAAATTTGCAATAACATTTATTGATCTTCTCTTATTTTTTCTCCAACAGCATGCATACATACAAGCATGGGAGAAGGATAAGACAACGATTCATGTGATGCCAGATACACCTGATATTATGCTGGCTAAAGCCAACAAGTTTAATTACAGTGAGGTATATAAATGTCTAAGAGCTTGCTGTGTTGATGGATATATTAATTGCATTCCCATTAAGGGGAATAGTAGTTACAAACTGCCAATGATTAAGGGTAGTGGATTTAGTTTCTTTGAGGCTTCGAATGTGGTATCTCCAATAGTTTGTGGTTCTTTCTCTTGGAAAGACTCTATGTGATCCATTGTGCTTTTCAGGAACTCCTGTGATTCCTAATTCCGGTACAATTGGATGAAGAATTTGGGCAGCACCTGAGCCAATGAATTTCCAAAATGCCTAATTCAGGTTGCTGAGTTTAATCTGCCACTAATACCACTCAGGTCCATTTGTTTCAGTAGAATGCAGGATCGAAAAGCCTTCAACGATGTCATCAAATATCTTTTAACACTCCCTGACTTCCCATCTGTAGACGTAGAGGAACAAGACTTCAACAGTTCTGCTTAGATCTTATGACCTCTAATTTGTCCATGTTCAGTAGGAAGCAGACATTCAAGGTGATTTACAGTGTCATGATGTAGGATTCCAGCTTATTATAAGCTTCAACTATGCCCTTTTGAATTACTAGAACATTTGTTCTAAATAGAGTTCAGATTAATGTGCCCCTTAGACATCTGAAGTAAATTTGCTCATTCCTTCTTAACAAAAGAATTTTGAGGGTGAACCCAGTCTTGGGTCAATACCAGCAAAATTTCTCAGGAGATTTTCAGATATTTATTTATTTTTCAAATTTATATTCTGCCCTCCCTGCGAACGGACTCAGGGCAGATCACAGCAGATAGGCCCTTTGGCAACATAAAACATATAATAAATAGTCAATTAAAATATTAAAGCCTCATTTAAAAACAATTTGCCCTAATACTAATGCTGCTGGACTGAATCTGTCGAATCCAGGCTAAATGGAGGAGGTGTTTTCAGCGCCCCCCCCATTTTTTTCTGGATGTCCACTGCCTCAACCAAAGGCCTAGTGGAACAGCTCCATTTTACAGGCCCTGTGGAATGGCAGAAGGTTCCGCAGGGCCCTGATCTCATGCGGGAGCATGTTCCACCAGGCCAGGGCCAGGGCAGAAAAGGCCCTGGCTGAGGCTAAACGGATGTCCATCGGGCTGGGGACAACCAGCAGATCTTGCTCAGCTGAGTGCAAGGCTCTCCGGGGCACATATGGGGAGAGGCAGTCCCTTAGGTATGTTGGTCACAAGCTGCACAAGGCTTTGAAGGTCAGTACCAACACTTTGAAGTGGATCTGGTACTTAATCGGTAGCCAGTGCAATTGGCGTAGTGCTGGCTGAATGTGCGCCCGCACAGGCAACACACTCAGTAGGCCCACCACCGCATTTTGCACCAGCTGGAGTTTCCAGATCAACTGCAAGGGCAAGCCCATGTAAAGTGAGTTACAGTAATCAAGCTTGGAAGTGACCAGCAGATCTTGGGCACTGTAGGTAAGTCCTGGGGGGGGAGAAGTACAGAGCCAGCTGCCTGATCTGCCAAAGATGATAAAAGGCAGACTTAGCAACTATGGTGATCTAGGCCTACATAGAGAGAAAGAGGCATCTAGGACCACCCCCAGGCTCCTCATCTTCTGGGCTGGCACAAGTAATGTGCTATCCAAGGTGGGCAGCCTGATTTCTGACCCAACTCCCCCTTGACCCAGGTACAGGACCTCTGTCTTAGTTGGATTAAATTTTCAACCGGCTCTGCTGTAACCATCCAGCCATGACCTCTAATGTCCTGGTCAGATTTTCTTGGAGTGGAGTCTGGGCAGCCATTGATCAACAGATAGAGCTCAGTGTCGTCCACATATTGATGACATCCCAGCCCATTGGTGAGAGAATCGCCCCCTGAGGCACTCCACAATCAAATGGGTATCGTGGGGATACTCCCCCACCAAGTGCCACCCTCTGTCCTTGATCACAGAGAAAGGAGTAAAACCATTGTAGGGCAGACCCCTGAAGTCCTATCTCGGTGAGGCAATAGATCATAGTTGACTGTGTTGAACGTTGCTGTCAGATCTAACAATAACAGCAGTGCTGACCTGCCCCAATCCTCTGAAGGTCATCTGTGAGGGCGACGTGCCATCTCTGTCCCATAGCCAGGACAGAAACCGAACTGGAATGGGTCAAGGATAGATGCGTTCTCCAAGAAAGCCTGGAGTTGTTCATCCACTATTCTCTCAACTACCTTGCCCAGAAACAGTAAATTAGAGACTGGGCAGTAGTTGGCCAGGACCATAGGGTCCAATGTTGATTTCTTTAAGAGCGGGCAAACCACTGCCTCCTTTAACTCCCCTGGGAAAGTCCCAGAAGAAAGGGGCAAGTTGATAATTTCTCCCAGGGAGATCTGAATGCCCTCCCCACAGACTTTAACCAGCCAGGATGTACATGGGTCAAGAAGGCAAGTGGTTGGCTTCACAGCTGCCAGGACCCTGTCAACATCTTCCTGAGAGAGCTGGTTGAAATGGTCTAGCATTGGACCTGAAGACAGACAAGGAGCTTCCAGTTCCTTTACTGTATCAACTGTGGCTGGGAGTTCCTGGCAAAGTGGTAAGACTTAATCTGCAAAATAACTTGCAAATGCCTCACAGCCAATATCCAATTCCCTAACAATTTGTTTGTCTTGTGGCAATGAAGTAAGTGATTGAATAGTTCTAAACAATCGGGCTGGGTGCAACTTCGCAGATACAATGTAGGATGCATAGAACTGTCTCTTAGCGGCCTTCACTGCCATCTCATAGACCCTCATAAAAGTTCTATAGCATGTTCTTGTCACTTTGTCATGAGTGCACCGCCACACTCGCTCTAGTCGTTTCAGCTCTTGTTTCATCATCCACACTTCCACAGTCTACCAAGGGACTGCTTTAGTGTGAGGGTAGAGAGGGTGCCGGGGGGCGATTACGTCAATGGCTTCGGAGAATCTGGAGTCCCAGTCCACCACCAGCTCATCTAACAAACCATCAGGGGGCATCAGATCCCGCAAAGCATCCTGAAGCTGCTCAGGGTCCATTTAGCTCTGCAGGCGAGCAAAAATACGCTGGCTACCTAAACAGGGAGGGTTTGGTATGCTCAGCCAGATCTTCAGGGCGAAGTGGTCTGACTATGGAACTACATCAGTAGTCATCAGCTCCACATTTATCCCCATTCCAAAAATCAAATCCAGCGTGTGGCCTGCTTGATGCATGGGAGTTGATGCAAACTGGGAGAGTCCCAGAGCCTCCATGGACGACACTAGGTCCTTGGCCTGAGAGGATGCCGCATCATCAGCATGGACATTGAAGTCCTCCAGAACTAATAGCCTGGGGTGCTCCATCACCCAGCCAGAAACAGCATCTGAAGATTGTCAAGTAGAGTGAAATTTGAAGTGAATTCAAGCCACCACTCCCCTCCCCCCAGATAAATCAGAGGAATTTTGAGGGAGTCAAAAGAGTTTTGATATTATAAGTCACAATTCTTAAGAGGGTCTTATGCACACCAAATTACAACACAAGAAATGTCCTTGAATGGGGCATGTGTTGAACATTTTTCTTTTTCATTTCCACATTAGAAATTGTATAAACTCGGATGGCAAGAAATGATAAAGAAAGGCTATGATCTCACAGCTGAAGCCATTTCAGTGAAAGCTGCAAAAGCATCACGAGACATTGCTAGTGAGGTAAGTCACCTTGTAAATGCAGCATCCTGTACGTCTGATACATCCAGCCACTGTTCAAGACTCATTAAATGGGGTTTTTATTGCCAGTGTTCGTTGTTGCTCATCCTGTATATGTTAACTGGAACTCCACCCCTTGCACACACCAGGAAGCACACTGGATTGGAGAACACTTTTATGCCTGTGCCTCTCCTTCACTATACATTAGGCCTCTCATCTGAACACTGGCAACCAGTGAGAGCCTTTGCGGGGCAGCGAGCTACATCACATGACACTGTGATGTCACTTCTGGTTTGTACCCCGAAGTGCCATTATGTCATAGAGATACAAATTCCTTGTGTGTTGTGATTTCATTTCAAGGTACAATCCTGTGCTCTCATTTTATAAATTAAACTTTGTAGTCTCTCAGTCTTTATTCAAGCATATTCACCAACCTTTATTCAGGCCACCAAGCTGTCCATTTTGGGGCTATGACCACCTGAGACCAGACTGACTATAGTAGTAATCATTCTTCTCTTTTAGAACTAAGTGTGTCTTTCAAAGTGATCTTATTTTGTCCTGTGAAAATCAATCATTGCATCCAACTCTTACCTGTCATAATGGGGGCTTAGGAAGACCCATCAGGGATTGGAGGCTCTAACTACAAGCTCTCTAGCATTCATCTTGCAACATCTGCCCCTGGTTCTTCCTAGAAATCAGCAAAAATAAACTTGAAAACATTGCAGATTTTTTCGGGTTCAGATTTCAGGGAGGGTATCCATACTGGTATTCTGAATCATTCTGCTCCCCAATATTGTTTCAGAATTTTCAGATTCAGCCCCCCCCCCGAATTTCAGAATTAGACGTGGGGGAGGGGGGTATCTATTATTCCCTGTGAAGGACTCTCTCCAGGGGGCTGGAGTGGATGCTTTTCCAGCTAATGACACCCAAACTGCCAAGAACTTAGTCCTGCCTGTCTAATAATGACTCTCCAAATTTAAAGCAAATTGGATAAGGGTATCCAATTTTATGACCATCCTACTTTTCTCCACTGTTTCCTATGGAGAAAAGATTCTATGCTTTCTCCAGGGCAAAGAAACCAATAGCCACTGGCCAAAAACCTCCTAATGCAAATAAAACCAACAAGCCCAACAGAACTGACATCAAACAGAGAATCCTAGTAACAAGCCCAGCACAACAAATGTCAAACCAGAGTTTTTGCCCATATTCAGAGAACTGTGAGAGAATTGTAATGATCGGGTAGACACATTTAGTGATTTCCCTAACATCTGATCTCATTGCCTGGGAGAGCTGCCGCCGGCCCCCTCCCTCTCCTTGCCTGGGAATGCTGTAACATTAAAGAAGATGGCTGGCTCCAAATGTTTCCAGATTTTTGGGGGGATCCAATTATCAGTATTTCAGATAACCTAAATATCACCCCAGATACACAAATATATCTGAAAATACCAATAAGGTATTTTTGGATATATATTTGGAACAGAAATGTTTGACTGCATATTCCTGGTAGGTAAAGTGCTGGGATAGGATTGGAGAGGCCTAGGTTCAAATCCTGCCTTATGCCATGAAGGGTGAGTTAAATTTTAGACAGACAGATAGAGAAACCCTTACCACTGTTTTTAGCTTGTCAAATCACTAGACGGTTATATGCTTCATCTTATAGTCCAAATCTCCAGAAAATATGACACCACATGGAAGTATTTATACATTAATCCTGATTTTACTCTCCCTATTTTAGCCTTACAGTCATTTTTTGTTGTTTTAGTACAAGTACAAAGAAGGTTACCGCAAACAACAGGGGCATCACATTGGATTCCGCAAGTTGCAAGATGATCCCAAACTTGTGCACTCTATGAATGTAGCCAAGATGCAGAGTGAAAGGGAATACAAGAAAGATTTTGAGAAGTGGAAGACTAAGATTAATTTGCCTGTGGATATGATATCTTTCTTGATGGCAAAGAATTGTCAGCACTTGGTTAGTGATGCAGACTACAGGCGGATCATTCACCAATGGACTTGTTTGCCAGACCAAACAGATGTCATTCATGCTAAGAAAGTTTATGAACTCCAAAGTGATGTAAGTCAGATTCCTAAACCACTTTCCCCCCTTTTTGTTTTTCTTTTTGTTTGAAAGCTATGTGGACAGTGAAGGCAGATTAAACAGGCACTTTATCTACCCTGGTAACACTTGATCTTCCTGCTTGTGTCCTTGATTCCTCTAGCTGAATTCTTCCCATTAAGCCATT